ACACATATACGTTACTGGATCTCGTGTAGTAACACACACACATAGGTTACTGGATCTCGTGTAGTGACACACATATACGTTACTGGATCTCATGTAGTAACACACATACGTTACTGGGTCTCATGTAGTAACACACATAGGTTACTGGGTCTCATGTAGTAACACACATAGGTTACTGGGTCTCATGTAGTAACACACACACATAGGTTACTGGATCTCGTGTAGTAACACACACACATAGGTTACTGGATCCCATGTAGTAACACCCATAGGTTACTGGATCTCATGTAGTAACACATATACGTTACTGGATCTCGTGTAGTAACACACACACATAGGTTACTGGATCTCGTGTAGTGACACACATATACGTTACTGGATCTCATGCAGTAACACACACACATAGGTTACTGGATCTCGTGTAGTAACACACACACATAGGTTACTGGGTCGCATGTAGTAACACACATACGTTACTGGGTCTCATGTAGTAACACACATAGGTTACTGGGTCTCATGTAGTAACACACATAGGTTACTGGGTCTCATGTAGTAACACACACACATAGGTTACTGGATCTCGTGTAGTAACACACACACATAGGTTACTGGATCTCATGTAGTAACACCCATAGGTTACTGGATCTCATGTAGTAACACATATACGTTACTGGATCTCGTGTAGTAACACACACACATAGGTTACTGGATCTCATGTAGTAACACCCATAGGTTACTGGATCTCATGTAGTAACACATATACGTTACTGGATCTCGTGTAGTAACACACACACATAGGTTACTGGATCTCGTGTAGTGACACACATATACGTTACTGGATCTCATGTAGTAACACACATACGTTACTGGGTCTCATGTAGTAACGCACATAGGTTACTGGGTCTCATGTAGTAACACACATAGGTTACTGGGTCTCATGTAGTAACACACACACATAGGTTACTGGATCTCGTGTAGTAACACACACACATAGGTTACTGGATCCCATGTAGTAACACCCATAGGTTACTGGATCTCATGTAGTAACACATATACGTTACTGGATCTCGTGTAGTAACACACACACATAGGTTACTGGATCTCGTGTAGTGACACACATATACGTTACTGGATCTCATGTAGTAACACATATACGTTACTGGATCTCGTGTAGTAACACACACACATAGGTTACTGGATCTCGTGTAGTAACACACACATAGGTTACTGGATCTCGTGTAGTAACACACACACATACGTTACTGGGTCTCATGTAGTGACACACATATACGTCACTGGATCTCGTGTCGTAACACACACATACGTAGCTTTTACTTTAGATTTACTTGAGTTCGTATTAACTTTATTACGTCTCTATGACCGTCTCTATATAAACTGCCGGGCAAAAGAAAGTATGGTTGATGATGTCAAGAAATGCAAGAAACAAATATCGGTACAATCATTTTCAGTAAATCTCACTGAACATTATATCGTTTACTGTGAGCTGATTTGCTAGCTACTGGCAATTGTTCCTGTGTTTTCTTTGACTGCGAAGCCGCCCACAGCAACGTGTCACGTCAACGCATTGTGGCCATTACATAAAGATGACATCATCCAACGTTAATGACGTCAGAGACGGTTTTGTGTGACGTAGTTCGGTCAGTAGACTGAGTAAGCTGGTATCTCTGCTTGTGATCGGGAGATACCCATTTATCTCTACATTTTAATATAAAAAAAACGATTGTGGGTTACACGACTCGGAGCTTCCAAATTAAATATGTCGGTACACATATATACTTATACGCGGTGCCTCGTACATCCCTAGTGATTCTCTACATGTTAACACATACACGTTTCAATGTTGTTATTATTGTCATGATCTAATAAATAAATCAGATTGAAGTCCACATAGCATTATTTGTCGGTTAAATACGTCATTTAGTTCGTATACTGATATTATTGGTTGAAGCAAATGTGATTTTTCCATTTTTCGTTACATATAACGGTTAAAGCCTTGGTCATTCTTTGATCTTTGAAATAAGACACATATCTTCTTAATGTAATGTAGTGTATTTTTAGAGTGATTGCCTTGCATACTTTTTCTGCCCGAAACTACCGTTTTTCTGAAACTAAAATCAAATTAATCACTGACATTGCTGAAATTTGAGTAAATCCATTTTATATACTGATTTACTCAAATTTACTCATATTTCAGTAATGTCAGTAGTTGTATATATATATACTGAACCGCAAAAGAAACGTCATCATGGATAAATATATGAGAAACCTTATTTGTCCAAACACTGTAAACATACTTTGAGACATATTAAAAAAAAAAAACTTGGCAAAACTGATCATCAAGGTTAAAATTAAAGTGCCAGATGTGAAACACAACACTATGTCTCTGAGAAAATGGCATTACAAGTCAGTATCTCGTGTGTCCGCCATATGCACTAATGACTGCCGTGCAACGTCGATAAATGGAATTGATGAGGCGATTGATGAAGGCCATAGGCACTTGAGCCCACACTCTGAGGAACGCCTGACGCAGTTCAGCTGCAGTTGTCGGCCTTGGTCGGGCGTCATTCAGCTGTCTTTGAATCTCGTCCCACAGGTGCTCAATGGGATTTAAATCGGGACTGAGGACAGGCCACTTCATGGTTCTGATGCCATTCTGCTGGAGGAAGTCTCTTGTTTCTGTCGTAGTGCGGATGTTATCATGCTGAAACTCGTGGTTGCGGCGACGTGCCAAATGAGGTATGGCGTGTGGTCTCAGGATTTGATCAATGTTCAGAACTGCTGTGACACCATTGCCTCTACCTGGACCGATGATCTGGAAGACCACAGGGCCGACCCTCTGTGCAAGACCAATTCCACCCCACACCATGATGCTCGGACCATCCCACGAGTCTCTCTCAACAACACAAGCATCCGAATAACGTTCCCCACGGCGTCGCCAGACTCTCCCTCTGCCATCTGCTGTTGAGATACATTAACGGCTCTCGTCTGAGAAGAAGCCTCTTCTCCACTGCTGGTGGCACCAATGCTGGTGTTGTGTTGCCCACTGAAGACGGTCCCGGCGATGACGTGGTGTCAGAATGGGTCCTCGGTGTGGCCTGTGATAGTTGAAGTGTCTGCTCGTCAATCGTCGACGCACGGTGTCCGCACTAATGAGTCGCTGGTGTGTCCCCGTGGTGTGTCGAGCAGTTTCCGCAGCAGTAACAAAGCGATCTTTAAGATGCTGTCGCACAGTCTGACGATCCTGACGTCGGGTGGTGACCCTTAGTCTTCCACTACGTGGTCGGTCATCTGTCGTGTTGGTGGTTCGGTACCGTTGCTGGAGCCTGTATATGGTCCTTACGTGGACTTGAAATGCATTGGCTACTTGCCGGGCGGTTTGTCCAGTTTGCAATCGTCCAAGGGCTTGGTGTCGCTGATTTCTTGTCAATCACTTGGCATGTGATAGCCATTTAATAACGAATGAACGTTATCCGATCTGCGTGGATTTTACAGGGCAAGAAATGGAGGAACGCATGTGCATTCCTTTTTGCCCGGAACTCATGTGTATCGGGTTACCATGGCCGTTGCTGTAATGCGTTTGAGCGATCGGTAATTGTCATCTGCTTTGTTCTTTTATCATCAAATTTCATTTTTCCAGACAAGGTAATGTTAAATTTTAGAAACTTTCACAAAAAAATACCCAGATATTTAAATAACAACGTTTCATGGAATGTAACTTGAGGTGACGTTTTTTATGCGGTTCAGTATATATGTAACAGTAATGTAGAAAGAAGACACATCAAAGGTATATGAATATCACTACATTGCTTTACAGCGTTGCCCACGTTTAAGTACCTCCTTGTTACTGTCTTGTTATAACGTTTTCACAGTGTCGTTACAGTATTGTTACATTGTTGCTTCGCCGTTGTTATATATAGTGTTGTTAAAATATTATTACAATGTTTCACGTCGTTACCAGATCGTTGTTACAGTATTATTACTACACTATTGTTTCGGTGTTGTTATAATGTTATTACAGATTGTTGTTACAGTATTATTACATTATTACTTCACTGTTGTTTCGGTGTTGTTACATTGTTGCTATGTCGTTCCTACACCTTCCTTATAGTGTTGTTTCAGTATCGTGGCATTGTTGTTTCACCGTTGTTACAGTATTGTTGCATTGATGCTGCACCGTTCCTACACCATTGTTACAGTCTTATTTTAGTATTCTTCGATTGATGCTACAGTTCTGTAACATCGTTCCTATACCGCTGTGACAGTATTTTTTCAATGTTGGAGACCCGTGAAGATCTGGGGTATAATTGGTCTTCGGCAACCCATGCTTGTTGTAAAAGGTGATTATGCTTGTCGAAAGAGGCGACTAACGGGATCAGGTGGTCAGGCTCGCTGACTTGGTTGATGAAAATCATCGCATCCGAATAGCGTGGATCGATGCTCATGATGTTAATCACTGGATTGTTTGATCTAGACTCGATTATTTAAAGACCGCCGTCATATAGCTGGAATATTGCTGAGTCCGTTGTTAAACAAACAAACAAACGAACAGTGTTGCTACATTGTCCTTTCAGTGTGGTGACAGCATAGTTACATTGTTACAGTGTTATTCCAGGATTGTTACAGTATTGTTATAGTATTGTTGTATTGGCGCAACAATTATACCGTTGTTGTCGCAGTCTTGTCACAGTATTGCAACATTGTTGTTACAGATATTTAATGTCGTGATTATACCGTTGTTACACTGTTGTTATAATGATTGTTTATAAACCGGAAATTAACTGCAGTGCCCGCGCAGCTAATATATTTTATATACTTCCGGAGTGTAATATGCACATAGTAAATGCCGGGGCTACTGTGGTTGTATTCATGTTTGATAACCAGGTGATCTGCTACTAATAATGACGTCACACGTTCAGTTAACATAGCCATACAGATATACAGTACCACATATAGGAATGCGGTTGTTTTCTTTCCCCCAGAACGAGGCTTTGTTTCGGGGTCTATTGCGCAGCCTCCTTCATCCACTCGGCACCCCTGACTCGGAGATCGGGCTCCGTCCCGGGGACCTGGTGGATCATCTCAGACAGGTGGGGCTCTACAGAGGGGGCTCTACAGAGGGGCTCTACAGAGGGCCGCTACAGAGGGGGCACTACAGAGGGGGCACTACAGGGGGGCTCTACAGGGGGGACACTACAGAGGGGGCTCTACAGAGGGGGCTCTACAGAGGGGGCACTACAGAGGGGGCACTACAGAGGGGGCACTACAGGGGGGCACTACAGGGGGGCTCTACAGGGGGGACACTACAGAGGGGGCACTACAAGGGGGCTCTACAGAGGGGGAACTACGGAGGGGGCACTACAGAGGGGACACTACAGAGGGGCTCTACAGGGGGGACACTACAGGGGGAACACTACAGAGGGGACACTACAGGGGGGCTCTACAGAGGGGGAACTACGGAGGGGGCACTACAGAGGGGGCACTACAGAGGGGGCACTACAGAGGGGCGCTACAGGGGGGACACTAAAGAGGGGGCTCAACAGAGGGGCTCTACAGAGGGCCGCTACAGAGGGGGCACTACAGAGGAGGCACTACAGGGGGGCACTACAGGGGGGCTCTACAGGGGGGACACTACAGAGGGGGCACTACATGGGGGGCTCTACAGAGGGGGAACTACGGAGGGGACACTACAGAGGGGGAACTACGGAGGGGACACTACAGAGGGGGAACTACGGAGGGGGCACTACAGAGGGGACACTACAGAGGGGCTCTACAGGGGGGACACTACAGAGGGGACACTACAGGGGGGCTCTACAGAGGGGGAACTACGGAGGAGACACTACCGATGGGCTCTACGGAGGGGGCACTACGGAGGGGGCACGTTGAGAGGGAGAGGGAGTCTAATTGGATCGGGGAGCATGGTCACATCAGGTTGGGGAGGTAGGTCACATCAGGTTGGGGAAGTAGGTCACATCAGGTCTGGGAAGTAGGTTATACCAGATCCGGGAGGTAGGTCATATCAGATCCGTGTGGTAGATCATATCAGTTCGGGGAGGTATGTCACATCAGATCCGAGTGGAAGGTCACATCACATCCGGGTGGTAGGTCCCATCAGATCGGGGAGGTAGGTCACACCAGATCCGGGAGGTAGGTCACATCAGATCCGGGTGGTAGGTCCCATCAGATCGGGGTGGTAGGTCACATCAGATCGGGGTGGTAGGTCACATCAGATCGGGGTGGTAGGTCACATCAGATCGGGGAGGTAGATCACATCAGATCGAGGAGGTTGGTCAGATCAGATACGGGAGGTAGGTCACATCAGATCCGGGAGGTAGGTCACTTTAGATCCGGGTGGTAGGTCACATCAGCTCGGGGAGGTAGGTCACATCAGATCCGGGAGGTAGGTCACATCAGATCCGGGTGGTAGGTCATATCAGATCGGGATGGTAGGTCACATCAGATCCGAGTGGTAGGTCACATCAGATCGGGGAGGTAAGTCACATCAGATCCGGGAGGTTGGTCACATCAGATCCAGGTGGTAGGTCCCATCAGATCGGGGAGGTTGGTCAGATCAGAAACGGGAGGTAGGTCACATCAGATCGGGGAGGTAGGTCACGTCAAATGGGGCAGGTAGGTCACATCAGATCCAGGTGGTAGGTCCCATCAGATCGGGGAGGTTGGTCAGATCAGATACGGGAGGTAGGTCACATCAGATCCGGGTGGTAGGTCACGTCAAATGGGGCAGGTAGGTCACATTAGATCCGGGTGGTAGGTCACATCAAATACGGGTGGTAGGTCACATCAGATCGGGGAGGTAGGTCACATCAGATCGGGGAGGTTGGTAACATCAGATCGGGGAGGTAGGTCAGATCAGATCCGGGAGGTAGGTCACATCAGATCCGTGTGGCAGATCATATCAGATCGGGGAGGTAGGTCCCATCAGATCGGGGTGGTAGGTCACATCAGATCCGGGTGGTAGGTCACATCAGATCGGGGAGGTAGGTCACATCAGATCGGGGAGGTAGGTCACATCAGATCGGGGAGGTAGGTCACATCAGATCGGGGAGGTAGGTCACTTCAGATCCGGGTGGTAGGTCACATCAGATCCGGGTGGTAGGTCACATCAGATCGGGGAGGTAGGTCACATCAGATCGGGGAGGTAGGTCACATCAGATCGGGGAGGTAGGTCCCATCAGATCGGGGTGGTAGGTCATATCAGATCCGGGTGGTAGGTCACATCAGATCGGGGAGGTAGGTCACATCAGATCCGGGAGGTAGGTCACATCAGATCGGGGAGGTAGGTCACATCAGATCCGGGTGGTAGGTCACATCAGATCGGGGAGGTAGGATAGATCAGATCGGGGAGGTAGGTCACATCAGATCGGGGAGGTAGGTCACATCAGATCGGGGAGGTAGGTCACTTCAGATCCGGGTGGTAGGTCACATCAGATCCGGGTGGTAGGTCACATCAGATCGGGGAGGTAGGTCAGATCAGATCGGGGAGGTAGGTCACATCAGATCGGGGAGGTAGGTCACATCAGATCCGGGTGGTAGGTCACGTCAAATTGGGCAGGTAGGTCACATCAGATCCGGGTGGTAGGTCACATCAGATCCGGATGGTAGGTCACATCAGATCCGGGAGGTAGGTCACATCAGATCGGGGAGGAAGGTCTCAACAGATCCGGGAGGTAGGTCACATCAGATCGGGGAGGTAGGTCTTATCAGATCCGGGTGGGATGTCACGTCAAATGGGGCAGGTAGCTCACATCAGTAGATATATGTTATGTCAATATGTACATACATGGTGTCTGACCTGGATACTGGTCACATTCCACCGTATTGTAAACACCACTGAGCATAGGTCGAACAATAGCACTTGCCGGTATAGTTGGCAAATGTTCACTGAGAATACATCTCAGTTTGAATAGATCCTCTTATGATAGTCAATATTATACACCATTTACGAAAATACCAGTTGAAAAAAATGTGATTCTTGTTCTCATCGAATAAATCTTCCATGTGCTGAACTGTTTAAAATAAATTAAGAAATTTAAGTTAATTATTTTAATTAAATTTAAACTTCTAATGCTCCCTCAAAGAAACAAACAGAATGATGCATTATATGTTAGAATATACCCTTAATTGTTTCCCCGTGTCACTGTGCAGGTGTTTGCAATCGACCAGGACGATCACGAGTATTTTATCAGAGAAGAAGCAAAAAATAAGGTGAGGAAATTTACATCATCTAGAAACAACAATTTTTCAGTTTTAGAGAGCGTGTTGGTATTTAGTGTTAGTGTCTGTGTTTAATTCCCGTTTTCATTATCAGCCAACGAAGATTCAAGTATGTGCAACGGTGATAGAAGCGCGAAACCTCAAGGTTGCAGACAAACCGCCGAAAGGTGAGTTATCTCGTGGATTCAGACAAAACTGCCTATGTGGTTTTATGGGAACGACCTGCGATACCAGAGTTATGGAACGTTATCCAGCAAGGCTTTGGAAAAATCTCGATCACGTGGGATTCATGAACTAGTAGGGATTCATACAATCCTACATGTTGGTCTCATGAACAGGACCTCTAGTTGGGGATTTATACAAACCTACACATGTTGGTTTCATGAACACGAGTGGGTGAGTATGGTTTTACGCCGCTTTTAGCAATATTCCAGCAATATCACGGCGGGGGACACCAGAAATGGGCTTCACACAATGTACCCATGTCGGGAATCGAACCCGGGTCTTCGGCGTGACGAGCGAACGCTTTAACCACTAGGCTCCCCGACCGCCCCTTCATGAACACGACCTCTAATAGGGGATTCATACAAACCTACACATGTTGGTTTCAAGAACACGTCCTCTAGGAGGGGATTCATACAAACATGCATGTGTGTCCGATGAACAGGACCTCTAGTAGGGGATTCATACAAACCTACACATGAGGGTTCTATAAACTCGACCTCTGATAAGGGATTCATATAAACCTACACGTCTGTTCCATGGACAAGACCAGTAGAGGATTCAAAGAAACCTTCACAGGATGAGGCTACGAACAGGCCCTCGAGTAGGGGATACAGGGACACACACAAACATGTGGGTTCAATGGGAGGAAACTCTCGAACATCTTCCAAGAATGATGTATCATGACATATGTTATGCGCACCAATGAGACAAGTCGCGAGAGTTCACAGCTGTAAGACTAATCCTGTCAATTCTCTTGCAGTGCAGTCCGAGTGCAACCCTTACTGTATCCTCACCATTGTGAACCCTACCAAGAACAGCAGGTATTCCCCAATAGCATCCCCAAAAGTCTCCCCTCGTTCCTCCCCGAGGAATAGTCCACTTCCTTCACGCAGACACCTTCCACCACGATCCAGCTCACAAGATTACGGAAGTGATGTGCTTCGATCTCAGACGGCGAGGGGATTCGCTCAGCCAAAGTGGAATGAAGAGTTCTACTTGTGAGTTCACTTAAATCATCATCTGCTTCTCTTTTGAACACTAACCTGAGTTTTAAGACCGCAATGGCAAGCATATGCCAGCTGTGTTGAAGATCACCATTCCTATGTGTTGTCACACCATTTGCATAGTACCTATTTACATGGACACTGGTGGGTTATTGGTCTAGGACGCCCCAAAGTGCCACAGAGTCATGGGTTCGAACCCAGGGTCGTCCTGATTGTGATTTGTAGTAACAGATCATATATATAAATATAAAACGTCACTGCCAGAGAATAACCTGTCTCAATTATTTACCGCAACAGTTTCCTATGGGCTTAAAAGGCAAAATATTGTTGGAAATTATGTGAACGCACTGACTGTCAGAAATGACACCTGGTGTTCGCGAAAAGGGTAAGAATCTCCTGCCCCGCCGATAGTATATTCTCCAATTTACATCATCTCCCCTTACATAAAGGGCAATGAATACTTTCAACTATCAACCTAATGAAATTGAGTTCATATTGTCATTATCGTTTGACATTTGTAATATGAACTTTTAATCATGATCATTATAAGGTGAATATGTATTTTCGTTAATAACTTGCCTGTTCATTTGCGTTTGATTGATAGCGATAAATGGGTTTTACTTCGTTTTGACAATAAATTACCTATCGATATACCATGAAATCAATTAAAACCCTCAATTCAATAGCTGAAGTGGAATGAGTCAAACAAAATATATTACAACAAATAGACGTCCGGAAAACAATATATAATAAGAAAAATAATATTTTACCAAGAATTGGGATTCGATCAAAAATATTCGAAGGTAATCCAAAGTGAAAAACTGTTCAATGTCGGGCATGTGTTATTGTAACATTACACTCTTTTGGTCAAAGAGACGCTCTGCCAAGGTAGTAATCTTTAGTCAAGGAATCAAAGTCTGGGATAGGACATGGTCAGTATGGAAGTGATGTCCTAATAGCTCAAATACCAGGAATCAAAGTCTGGTATTGGACGTGGTTAGTACGGAAGTGATGTCCTAGTAGCTCAAATACCAGGAATCAATGTCTGGTATAGGACGTGGTCAGTATGGAAGTGATGTCCTAGTAGCTCAAATACCAGGAATCAATGTCTGGGACAGGACGTGGTCAGTATGTAAGTGATGTCCTAGTAGCTCAAATACCAGGAATCAATGTCTGGCATAGGATGTGGTCAGTATGGAACTGATGTCCTAGTAGTTCGAATACCAGGAATCAATGTCTGGCATAGGATGTGGTCTAAGAAAGTTATGTCCTAGTCGCCAAATATGAGAAACCAATGTCTGTGATAGAACGTGGTCAGTATGGAAGTGATGTCCTTGTAGCCAAATATCAAGAATCAATCACTGGGTGAGGATGGAGTATGTATGGTGTTACTCCGTTTACAGCAATAGTCATGCAATATCACGGCGGAGACACATATTACCCTATTCGGTATAATGAGCGAACGCTTTAACCACTAGGCTACCAACAGCACGCCTTATGTAAGATAACATTAATGTTTAGGGTATAGAGAACCTTCGGTCTGGAAATTCCAATTGTCTTCTTCCAGGGAAATAGAGGACCTCCTGACAGATGAACTCCACGTGTGTTTCTTCAGTCAAGACTCGGATGTCATTCATCAGGAAAACAAACACCCGGACAAGGGCGGTAACTTTCTCAAGAGGTGGGATAACCTGTGTTGGATGACATTCATACTTTACATACTTTTAATTTAAACCCCGGAAATCTTTAAACAAGTGGGTTTTCACGTTCTACCATAAGGCAAGACATATACACGCACGCACGCACGTGAGGGAGGGTTGGTAGGGGTGGGTGGGGGAGTAATCGTCTAAGACGCCACAAATAAATGTGCAGAGTTGCATCACTAAGACGTGCCAAGATTTTTTTATCGCGGTTTCGAATGTCAGACTCGCCTATGTTTAACAGCACCATACCCGTGCTCGTGGGTTTCACCAAAGTGATAAACGTCAAAGACCTGCATCACTTCGGGTTTTCTTCCCACATTAAGCGGACACGCTGTGACAGAACTGAAATACTGTTCAAAACGGCGTTAAACCCAACTCACTCAGTCATCTAACATTTATGTTTCAGCTTTTTCCGCAACGTCTTGGCTTCTTCATCAGATCATGATAAATATATACCAGGATGCATCGGGCGAATAGTTGTTCCAGTTCGGGTACGTGTGTTGCATTGTTGAATTGAATTCCTGGAGAATTAATTATACATAGTGTAAACTGTCAGGTGTTCAAATACTCAGTAAAAAGGTCAGTGCCACATATAACATTTCCCGTTTGATGGATGGTTTATTGCTTAAAGTCGCACTCAGTAATTACCCCGCTGTATGAAGGCGGCGTAAAATATTGGAGCCTGGACCAGACAAGCTTGTGATTGAAAAAATGGGTAACAATTCCCGTTACAGAGGTCTAGTTGATGTCTGCGGGTCGGTAATAAACACATATGACGTAAGCCGTCACTCGAAATATGATACCCCATATTGTTTGTTCGCCGTTCGGCTATTATATCATAACAATTGTCTCCATAATAATTGGTTATTTTGTGCGTTATTCGTGGGCGCTTAGTCCTATTTTGCGATGAACGATTTCTAGAGAAAGGTGTTGGTTAAAGTTAACATTTTATCTTCGAATGATGGGGGGAAAGTTCATAAATCAGCTTTGTTTATCGCTAAAACTGAGATTTTTCTAGATGAGAAACTGATGTCTTGTATCGTGCAGGACATTGCCACAAACAGTGTAGAATGAGAAACTGGTGTCTTGTATCTTGCAGGACATTGCCACAAACAGTGTAGTATGAGAAACTGGTGTCTTGTATCTTGCAGGACATTGCCACAAACAGTGTAGTATGAGAAACTGGTGTCTTGTATCTTGCAGGACATTGCCACAAACAGTGTAGTATGAGAAACTGGTGTCTTGTATCTTGCAGGACATTGCCACAAACAGTGTAGTATGAGAAACTGGTGTCTTGTATCTTGCAGGACATTGCCACAAACAGTGTAGTATGAGAAACTGGTGTCTTGTATCTTGCAGGACATTGCCACAAACAGTGTAGTATGAGAAACTGGTGTCTTGTATCTTGCAAGACATTGCCACAAACAGTGTAGTATGAGAAACTGGTGTCTTGTATCTTGCAGGACATTGCCACAAACAGTGTAGTATGAGAAACTGGTGTCTTGTATCTTGCAGGACATTGCCACAAACAGTGTAGTATGAGAAACTGGTGTCTTGTATCTTGCAGGACATTGCCACAAACAGTGTAGTATGAGAAACTGGTGTCTTGTATCTTGCAGGACATTGCCACAAACAGTGTAGACAGATGGATGAATGTGTTCCCGGTGGGGCCGGTCAGCGCCAGGACAAAACCTGTCGGTCAGTGCCGCGTGCGACTTGCCATCTCCTACATGCAGGTCAGCTGATTACTGGTCAAGTAGCAACCATTTGGTGTGTCATTGCATAGTTGAATAATTGAATAATTGAGAAATAATAACATATGACATGGGCTTTCTGTACTTCGTGTAAAACCTTGTAAATCATATGACATATTAAACAGAAGGTAGAACTATCCGTTCTTCTCTCTCCATTCCATTCTTCACCTCTCTCTCCCTCTCCACCCCATCCTCTCTCCCTATCTCTATCTCTCCATCTCCACCCCATCCTCTCTCCCTATCTCTATCTCTCCATCTCATCCGCCTTCCCCTCTCTCCACTCTCTCTCTCGCTCGCCATCACCTCTCTCCCTCTCTCTCCCCAAATCATCCGCCTTCCCCCCTCTCTCTCTCACTCTCCATCCCATCTTCATTTCCTCTCTCTATCTCTCCATCTCATCCACCTTCCTCTCTCTCTCGCTTTCCATCACAACCTCTCACTCTCTCTTTTTTCTCTCTTCATCCAAACCTCTCTCCTTCTCTCTCTCTCCATCTCATCCGCCTTCCCCTCCCTCTCTCTCTCGCTCTCTATCACAACCTCTCTCTCCATCTCATCCGCCTCTCTCTCTCTCTATCCATCACAACCTCTCTCTCTCTCCATCTCATCCGCCTCTCTCCCTCTCTCTCCATCTCATCCGTCTTCCCCTCTCTCTCTCCATCACAACCTCTCTCCATCTCATCCGCCTCTCTCGCTCTCCATCACAACCTCTTTCTTTCAATCCCAACCTCCTTCCCCTCTCTCTATCTCTCTCCATCACAACCTCCCGCCTCTCTCTCCCTTTTTATATATAGATAAATACATAGATAGATATTTACTACTCAACTTGTGATGGGGGTAATCAGATATGTCATAGTATGTAAATATACGCTTGACATACAGTGAAAATTAATTTTTCGTTTTGTGAGAATTTTAGTTTCTCCTCCTCCCTTTCCCGCTCTCTCCCTCCCGTTGCCTTTCTCCACCTCCCTTTCCCTCTCTCTCTCTCCAGCTTATAGTGATCGTGTTTATGTATCTGTATCTCCTCCTTACAGTCAGGTGCGTGTTTCTCCGTGGAGGACTACCACCAGGTGTCGCTCATCCACCACAAACACGCTGTGAAGATCAACACGGTGAGACAGACCACAATATGTCCTAGTTGTTCATTGTTGGCCGGAATATGTCCATATGCTTTTAGTGAAGGAACTGGTAGATCATACATTTATTGTATAATTATGTGTAAACGTCTTCCTTATTTTTTTTAAAAATGAGAACCACATACAGCCGAACCTTGTCAGAAAATACCAATTGTACAACGGGCTGTCAGTAAAAAATATATGTTTGGTCATGTAGCATTTACGCACAGTGACTGTCTCCACGGTTACAGGGTCAGACGTTAATTGATATGCATGGCAAGATATTTATTTGCTAAATGTTACATTGTACTTATGTCTTTATTCGGTTTAAAGGCCGTCGCACGTTCAGCAGGATTTATGTTACAGTGACATTATGGATATTTCTTAATATGAGAGCTTCTCCCACAATTTATTACTAGATAATTCACTCAAGTCGTGTTTTTCCCCAATCTCATTAAAATCAGATCTTAGTTCTCGCTACCGCTAAACAAACATCTGAGGACATCCCATTACGGGTCACGTCAGAACGACCTTTCTTCCAACCAATCAGAGCGTCGCTTACCAGATCATGAAAGTGACACTCGGAATGTGTTTTCTAATCATGCAACCACGAAATATTTTGCACGGGGTATTCCGAACGACAGTTTCGGGTTTTATGATTATAGCCATACAATCTATGCCGTCTTTAAGAAATTCCAGAATGTTCTTCTTAACAGTTTTAATTGTTTTAATCGAGAATACGTCAAAATATGTTTCGAAGCGTAGTCGCCAGTTAAACTAGTGTCGTAAAGTTCGAGAAAGCAGCCTTCTGATTGGCTAATGTCGATTTCTTGTCAGTCTTTTCATTGGTCGGTCAAAATTCGCGAAAGGTCGTTCTGACGTGACCCGTAATGGGATGTCCACGGATCTTTGTTTAGCGGTAGCGAGAACTAAGATCTGATTTTAATGAGATTGTGTTTTTTTCCCATTTTCAGGACTGTACCGACTCTGCGTTACTCTTGTCTCCGCAAAGTCGACGGATTCTCGACACATTCGCCATAGGAAATAGGATATCCAAGCTCTCCCAGTCCATCCTGTAGGTACTTCACTAGTGCGTGAGTGGGAGTGGTTTTACGCCGCCTTTAGCAATATGCAAGCAATTTCAAGGAAGGAGACGCCAGACATGGGCTATAAACATTGCTCCATGTGGGGAATCGAACCCAGGTTTTCGGAATGACGAGCGAAAGCTTTTACCACAAGGCTACCCCGCTGCTACATTCTTCGTAAATTCATGTTGAGATTAAAAATAACAGTTGTGTGATGTGTGGACATGAGAGTCATACCGAGTGTATTTAGGCATGTTTAGTTGCATGAGTGAGTGGGTGAGTGAGTATGGTTTTACGCCGCTTTTAGCAATATTCCAGCAATATCACGGCGGGTACACCAGAAATGGGCTTCACGCATTGTACCCATGTCGAGAATCGAACCCAGGTCGTCGGCGTGACGAGCGAACACTTTATCCACTAGGCTACCTCACCACCCCTGTGTACTCTGAAGACATGTCAGAAGAATATAATCAGATGCCATCCCAGCACAGTATAATGTATCTTTTGCATCTGCAGGGATCTGACGGTGCTACTGGAGCTGGTGGCATCCCCGGAGAAAGAGATTCAGTGTCTGTCGGACACGGTGCTGCACAAGTCGCTGGAGGAGGTGCAGATGACGTGGCTGGCAATGCAGGCGTGTGGCCAGGAGCTCACACAGAGGATGCCGTTGTCCGACTCTGAGGTAGTGGGGTGCACGTTCCGCAGTCAACTAACATTCCTAGTTTATGATATCTTCCCATGGCAAGGGAGTTATCTGACTAAAACAATCCAGCTTCCACCCTTGCCGAAATAAGCTGGAATTAAGGATTTATATATATTGGCTGGAATAACGAGTCTATGCATAGTACAATTCAAAATCGCGTAACGAAATCGGCATCAGGTCCGTAAACTGCCGAGATGATTTCGGTCGATTGCAGGATTTGGAAAGCATGTGTATCGTTAACTTAGTGTCAACAGATATTTTCTAAATCTTTTCATGTTTTTAATAACGGGGCTTACGCGATGTGATGAAATTCGCGAGATATGACCCATTTTAGTACAATATAGATCTTGATTATCGACCAGAACGTCTTGACTTCGCGCCGCCATTTTGTTTTAAGCATATGCCTGTGATATGAGAGGTGGAATCTGATTGGTCAATAGGAGGAACATAGAAGGGGCATAACACGTAATAGATACTGGTGGCGCTACGATCGAGCCCAGAAATACAAACCTAGTTCGGCAAGGGTGGAAATTGGACTTTTACAGTCAGTTAACTCCCTTGCCTCGGGAAGATGAGTTCATAAAGAATGGTTTAAGTGAATGAAGCATTAAGACAATGATCATTATAAGCTTTCAGCGGAAGATATTTTCCATCACTCTGCATTAAATCGGCAGTGTCAAGTTGGACCATAGCTAAAATAGCCCAACTAATGTAAATACCACGCTTTAAGAAGCTGTGGAACTATAGTTTCAAATAGATGACCACCTGAAAATATAGATCTAGATATATGATTATCCTGTAATTGTTGTATGCGTGTTGGCAACTTTCTAGCTTCATCACGTAAGAGGGGCGGTCGGGTAGCTTTGTGGTTAAAGCGTTCGCTCCTCACGCCGAAGACCCGGGTTCGATTCCCGACACGGGTACAATGTGTGAAGCCCATTTCTGGTGTCCCGCGCCGTGATATTGCTGGAATATTGCTAAAAGCGGCGTAAAACCATACTCACTCACTCACTCATCACGTAGGCCTGCTGTAATGCAACATACCAGCTACATCACGTTTGCCAGCATTCAGCAATATTCCCCAGGAAGTAAGACTAACGGAGCGCCACACACTATACTCCTGCAAAAGAGTTTAGCTTCACCCCTCATTGTCAACTTCAGTGTATCTACATATGATATTGAGATATTTATTTATTTATTTATGCTTAAGATCCCACTGATACCTGCTGAAATGTTGTTGCACAGGAACACTGTATGTTCCGCCGGGTGTGTTTTAAGTAGATGTCATCCCATACGATGAAAATTAGCACAGGGAGCAGATGGTAGTCACATAACTACCGCCATGGAACAGTTACAAAACATGTCAGCTTATCGATCTTGGTGTCTGACTTTCAATATGAGTATGACACTTTGTAAACAAAAAAATATATGTTTTCCGTCTGAACATTAATACCGTACTCGTGTTGTTTAATGGACATTTTATACGGAAATTTAAGTGATGCTCATTTTGGTCCAGGTGTACATACCAGCCAGATACAAAGCGTGATGGAAAACTGACACAATTCATAGAGTGGGATAGGCAAGAACATTGCATTACTACAGACCAATGCATACAGGGGGTTGGCAAGAACATTGCTATCCTGCAGAACAATGCATATTGTGGGATACATATGCCATTGCTATGGTACAGAACACTTCATATAGTGTTATAGAGAAGAACATTGCCATACTACAAAACAATTCATATAGTGCTAAAGACAAGAACGTTACTTTACTACTTTACGTAATTTTGTCAAGACATTGTAGGAAATGGCTGTATCTGTTACAAAACAGTTATAAGAATGCTTGATTGTCATGCATTTTGTAGTTATCATTTCTCATAATATTGTTCAATTGTACTACTGTACAGCTCTGTAATTATACATAATATCATATATGATATGTATCTTCAATATCTGGAGGAAATAAAGAATATCTATAGTGTTATAGAGCAGAACGTTGCCATACCACAAACAAATTCATATAGTCTTAAAGACAAGAACGTTACTATACTACAGAACACTTCATATAGTGTTATAGACAAGAACATTATTAAACATTGCTGTTTCCGAGAGGTCATCCTTGAGAGAAGGCATGTTGTTAGATCTCAGTCAATTAGTTGTTCACTGTGTGCCATGGTTTCAGATCTGTCTGTATCGGACCGGCGCCCGGAACTACATCAGCTCCCTGACCAGCAAGCTCCATGAACTGCCGAGTCTCTTCCCTCCGTCAGCAGAGAGTCTTGTCACACTCAAGGGGTCTCTGGGGTAAGCGTCAGGATGTGCAGTGATCTCTGTGTATGGGGGTGGGGTGGGGGGAATTGGCGGGGTTAGGGGGATGAATTTTGTCTGGGTGTTTGTTAGGGCTGTAACGATTCACCGATACCTACGATATCATCGATATTTAGGTACACACGATACTTGAATCGTGAGTTTGTGAGATCGCGATACACTAAAGTTAGAAGAGAAACTGATAGTGTTACCTCATGTAATAGCAGATGTAGTGAGTGAGTGAGTGAGTATGGTTTTACGCCGCTTTTAGCAATATTCCAGCAATATCACGGCGGGGGACACCAGAAAAGGGCTTCACACATTGTACCCATGTCGGGAATCGAACCCGGGTCTTCGGCGTGAGGAGCGAACGCTTTAACCACTAGGCTACCCGACCGCCCCTGCAGAAGTAGCATAGCGACACCTGTAAGCATGGTGGAACACAAGGACGTGGTGGCTGAGGATGCGCCGACTAGCTGTTACATTTAATAACCATCCCTCCATTTAAAACTGTTTTGTTCATGTGGTTTTCTTTGCTAAGAGTTTTGAGATACCAATAAATAAATGTATGAAGAAACAGGTCTTAATTAATTAATTCAGTGATTTAATCATGTCCTACTATTTGATGTGGTGCATCGTGATACCAGTAGTATCGTCAGACTGTATCGAGATACAAATCGTATCGCATAATACCAGGCGGTACTCTGCTCTAGTGTTTGGTGGGTGTTTGGATGGTGGTTGGGGTGGTGGGTTGGGGTGGTGGGTTGTGGTTCGGGTGGGAGGTATGCTACAGCCTGGCCATATAACATCCCTATTCTACAATCTGACTATTAAACATTATCTTAATTCCACAGTCTAGCCATACATCTCCTCGAGCTGGATCTCTGGGACTCGTCGTCTTCAACACAAAATGAACTCGCAGATAAGCTTCTCCAGAAATTACAGGTACTAATCGCGTTAAAGATTTTTTACCACAGGTTATCAGTTAAGTCGGGGGCACGGGAGTCAGAGTCGTCCAAGGCGCTCCAATACATGCAACAGAGTTGCGTCCCTTACATGGGCCAGAACCCGATGAACCCTCCTTGGTCCGCCCTGATTATGTTTTTAGGTAGGTCAGCACCATAACCTTGCTCGTGGGTTTCACCAAAGTGGCAAATATCAAAAGACGTGTATCACTTCAGGCTTTCCTCCGACATGAAGCTGACACGTCATGATATAACTCTTTAAAGCGTCGTTAAACCAAATTCACCAACTTACACTATCAGATCAAAAGAGGATGCATAATGACACAGTATAAGGTCACAAATTAGGATCAATACACTGAAAGATGTATCTACGCATATCCATACCCTGTGTTATCTTAACTATCTGCTGTTTTCCAGTCGGACATTGACCTTTGGATGACGGAGAAGCTCCAGGAGGTCTACTCGCACAAGAAGGTCAAGGACTCGGTGATACCGGAAATGAAATCCCTGACCGAGTCAATCAGGTCTCTGGCCTCTCATTGCAGTCCCCTAGGGGTCATTACCAAGTTCTACGGTCCCCTGGGGGTGAAGTATTACAGGGTTGTTGCATTCAGAACGGAGAGAAAGGTAGGCGTGAACGAAAGAGTCCGTTTGTTAAATTACGCGACAGGTGCTACGGTTACTATCAAAACTTATTTCCACAGAGAAACAAGTGGGATATTTCAATTGCTTTGATGACTCAATGCCGTCCTGTATCCGCAGTTGTCGACGACAGCTCGCGAGATGATGTTAGAGATGGACAAGTACATGGTGCGCTATCACAACTTCCCCGTCAACATCGCCCAGAGCAGCCGCCACTCTCTCGCCCTCTACTTCGCCATCAGGAAGTTCTACCTCCTCATCAAGGAGGGGCTCACAGACAGGTGATATATGCACCACGCAGACAGGTGATACATGCACCACGCAGACAGGTAATACATGCACCACATGCACAGCATAGGTAGCTGATAGATGCACCACGCAGACAGCTGATACATGCACCACACAGACAGGTGATACATGCGCCACACAGACAGGTGATACATGCACCATGCAGACAGGGATACATGCACCACACAGACAGGTGATAAATGCACCACACAGACAGGTGATACATGAACCACACAGACAGGTGATACATGCACCCAAGCATAGCTGAGAGATCGGTTATACATGCACCACGCAGACAGCTGATACATGCACCACACAGACAGGTGATACATGCGCCACACAGACAGGTGGTACATGCACCACGCAGACAGGTGATACATGCACCACACAGACAGGTGATACATGCACCTCACAGACAGGTGATACATGCGCCACACAGACAGGGGATACATGCACCACACAGACAGGTGATACATGCACCACATGCACAGCACAGACAGGTGATACATGCACCACACAGACAGCTGATACATGCACCACACAGACAGGTGATACATGCACCACATGGACAGCACAGACAGGTGATACATGCACCACACAGACAGGTGATACATGCAACACATGCACAGCACAGACAGGTGATACATGCACCACACAGACAGGTGATACATGCACCAAACAGACAGTGGATACATGCACCACGCAGACAGGTGATACATGCACCACGCAGACATATGATACATGCACCACATGCACAGCACAGACAGGTGATACATGCACCACATGCACCACACAGACAGGTGATACATGCACCACGCAGACAGCTAATACATGCAACACACAGACAGGTGATACATGCACCACATGCACCACACAGACAGGTGATGCATGCACCACACAGACAGGTGATACATGCACCACACAGACAGGGGATACATGCACCACACAGACAGGTGATACATGCACCACACAGACAGGTGATACATGCACCCAAGCATAGCTGAGAGATCGGTTATACATGCACCACGCAGACAGCTGATACATGCACCACACAGACAGCTGATACATGCGCCACACAGACAGGTGATACATGCACCACGCAGACAGGTGATACATGCACCACACAGACAGGTGATACATGCACCTCACAGACAGGTGATACATGCACCACACAGACAGGTGATACATGCGCCACACAGACAGGTGATACATGCACCACATGCACAGCACAGACAGGTGATACATGCACCGCACAGACAGGTGATACATGCACCACACAGATAGCTGATACATGCACCACACAGACAGGTGATACATGCACCACATGGACATCACAGACAGGTGATACATGCACCACACAGACAGGTGATACATGCACCACATGCACAGCACAGACAGGTGATACATGCACCACATGCACCACACAGACAGGTGATACATGCACCACGCAGACAGCTGATACATGCAACACACAGACAGGTGATACATGCACCAATGCACCACACAGACAGGTGATGCATGCGCCACACAGACAGGGGATACATGCACCACACAGACAGGTGATACATGCACAAGAAAAAACAGACAGGGGATACATGCACCACACAGACAGGTGATACATGCACCACACAGACAGGTGATACATGCACCTCACAGACAGGGGATACGTGCACCACACAGACAGGTGATACATGCACCACACAGACAGGGGATACATGCACCACACAGACAGGTGATACATGCACCACACAGACAGGGGATACATGCCCCACACAGACAGGTGATACATGCACCACATGCACCACACAGACAGGTGATACATGCACCACACAGACAGGTGATACATGCACCACACAGACAGGTGATACATGCACCTCACAGACAGGGGATACGTGCACCACACAGACAGGTGATACATGCACCACACAGACAGGGGATACATGCACCACACAGACAGGTGATACATGCACCACACAGACAGGTGATACAAGCACCACACAGACAGGGGATACATGCACCACATGCACCACACAGACAGGTGATACATGCACCACGCAGACAGCTGATACATGCACCACACAGACAGGTGATACATGCACCAAACAGACAGGTGATACATGCACCACATGCACCACACAGACAGGGGATACATGCAGCACACAGACAGGTGATACATGCACAACACAGACAGAGAATACATGCACCACACAGACAGGGGATACGTGCACCACACAGACAGGGGATACATGCACCACACAGACAGGTGATACATGCACCACACAGACAGGGGATACATGCACCACACAGACAGGTGATACATGCACCACACAGACAGGTGATACATGCACCACACAGACAGGTGATACATGCACCACATGCACCACACAGACAGGTGATACATGCACCACACAGACAGGTGATACATGCACCACACAGACAGGTGATACATGCACCACACAGACAGGGGATACATGCACCACACAGACAGGTGATACATGCACCACACAGACAGGCGATACATGCACCTCACAGACAGGGGATACATGCACAACACAGACAGGTGATACATGCACCACAGAGACAGGGGATACATGCACCACACAGACAGGTGATACATGCACCACACAGACAGGGGATACATGCCCCACACAGACAGGTGATACATGCACCACATGCACCACACAGACAGGTGATACATGCACCACACAGACAGGTGATACATGCACCACACAGATAGGTGATACATGCACCTCACAGACAGGGGATACGTGCACCACACAGACAGGTGATACATGCACCACACAGACAGGGGATACATGCACCACACAGACAGGTGATACATGCACCACACAGACAGGTGATACATGCACCACACAGACAGGGGATACATGCACCACATGCACCACACAGACAGGTGATACATGCACCACGCAGACAGGGGATACATGCACCACACAGACAGGTGATACATGCACCAAACAGATAGGTGATACATGCACCACATGCACCACACAGACAGGGGATACATGCACCACACAGACAGGTGATACATGCACAACACAGACAGAGGATACATGCACCACACAGACAGGGGATACGTGCACCACACAGACAGTGGATACGTGCACCACACAGACAGGTGATACATGCACCACACAGACAAGGGGATACATGCACCACACAGACAGGTGATACATGCACCACACAGACAGGTGATACATGCACCACACAGACAGGGGATACATGCACCACATGCACCACACAGACAGGTGATACATGCACCACACAGACAGGTGATACATGCACCACACAGACAGGTGATACATGCACCACACAGACAGGTGATACATGCACCACACAGACAGGGGATACATGCACCACACAGACAGGTGATACATGCACCACACAGACAGGTGATACATGCACCTCACAGACAGGGGATACGTGCACCACACAGACAGGTGATACATGCACCACACAGACAGGGGATACATGCACCACACAGACAGGGGATACATGAACCACACTGACAGGGGATACATGCACCACGCAGACAGGTGATACATGCACAACACAGACAGGGGATACATTCACCACACAGAAAGCTGATACATGCACCACACAGACAGGGGATACATGCACCACACAGACAGGGGATACATGCACCACACAGACAGGTGATACATGCACCACGCAGACATGTGATACATGCACCACACAGACAGGGGATACATGCACCACACAGACAGCTAATACATGCACCACACAGACAGGTGATACATGCACCACACAGACAGGTGATACATGCACCACGCAGACAGGGGATACATGCACCACACAGACAGGTGATACATGCACCACACAGACATGTGATACATGCACCGCATGCACAGCACAGACAGGTGATACATGCACAACACAGACAGCTAATACATGCAACACACAGACAGGGGATACATGCACAACACAGACAGGGGATACATGCACCACACAGACAGGGGATACATGCACCACACAGACAGGTGATACATGCACCACACAGACAGGTGATACATGCACCACACAGACAGCTAATACATGCAACACACAGACAGGTGATACATGCACCACACAGACAGGGGATACATGCACCACACAGACAGCTAATACATGCAACACACAGACAGGTGATACATGCACCACACAGACAGGGGATACATGCACCACGCAGACAGGGGATACATGCACCACACAGACAGCTAATACATGCAACACACAGACAGGTGATACATGCACCACACAGACAGGGGATACATGCACCACACAGACAGCTAATACATGCAACACACAGACAGGTGATACATGCACCACACAGACAGGTGATACATGCACCACGCAGACAGGTGATACATGCACCACACAGACAGGTGATACATGCACCACACAGACATGTGATACATGCACCGCATGCACAGCACAGACAGGTGATACATGCACCACACAGACAGCTAATACATGCAACACACAGACAGGGGATACATGCACAACACAGACAGGGGATACATGCACCACACAGACAGGGGATACATGCACCACACAGACAGGTGATACATGCACCACATGCACCACACAGACAGGTGATACATGCACCACACAGACAGGTGATACATGCACCACACAGACAGGTGATACATGCACCTCACAGACAGAGGATACGTGCACCACACAGACAGGTGATACATGCACCACACAGACAGGTGATACATGCACCACACAGACAGGTGATACATGCACCACACAGACAGGTGATACAAGCACCACACAGACAGGGGATACATGCACCACATGCACCACACAGACAGGTGATACATGCACCACGCAGACAGGGGATACATGCACCACACAGACAGGTGATACATGCACCAAACAGACAGGTGATACATGCACCACATGCACCACACAGACAGGGGATACATGCACCACACAGACAGGTGATACATGCACCACACAGACAGAGGATACATGCACCACACAGACAGGTGATACATGCACCACACAGACAGGGGATACATGCACCACACAGACAGGTGATACATGCACCACACAGACAGGTGATACATGCACCACACAGACAGGGGATACATGCACCACACAGACAGGTGATACATGCACCACACAGACAGGTGATACATGCACCTCACAGACAGGGGATACGTGCACCACACAGACAGGTGATACATGCACCACACAGACAGGGGATACATGCACCACACAGACAGGTGATACATGCACAAGAAAAAACAGACAGGGGATACATGCACCACGCAGACAGGTGATACATGCACAACACAGACAGGGGATACATTCACCACACAGAAAGCTGATACATGCACCACACAGACAGGGGATACATGCACCACACAGACAGGGGATACATGCACCACACAGACAGGTGATACATGCACCACGCAGACATGTGATACATGCACCACACAGACAGGGGATACATGCACCACACAGACAGCTAATACATGCAACACACAGACAGGTGATACATGCACCACACAGACAGGTGATACATGCACCACGCAGACAGGGGATACATGCACCACACAGACAGGTGATACATGCACCACACAGACATGTGATACATGCACCACATGCACAGCACAGACAGGGGATACATGCACAACACAGACAGGGGATACATGCACCACACAGACAGGGGATACATGCACCACACAGACAGGGGATACATGCACCACATGCACCACACAGACAGGTGATACATGCACCGCACAGACAGGGGATACATGCACCACACAGACAGGTGATACATGCACCACACAGACAGGTGATACATGCACAACACATCAGTAACTCTGCCGCGTTTCTCCCCCAGGGACATGTTCCGCCTGACCATCAGTCAGTACCAACGCTGGTTCCAGGAATCTCTGGTGTTCTGGCTGCAGACCTTCAAGACAGAGTGTATGACCCGGATGGAGAAGGCACTGGAAATAGACAAGGATGTGAGTTGTTTGTTGACAGAGGTGTGAATGATGTGTGACATAATTTCGTGAAAGAAATGTAAATAAACTGTGGATCCTTTCTTTTGGACCATGCGAATCATGCGAACCTGAGTGATTGTTATGTGAATCAAGTATGACAGCAGTATGCATGTGTGTTTATAATGTCAATAATGTCGATGTTGATATTGTGCTGCCAGACTAATCCTGTTTGTTTTTCCAGGTTGTGTTGGTGACATCACTGGTGAAATTCTCCAACTCGTCCGTGGATGTCCTGTCCTGCTTTGCAAAGGTTCGTTTCCCAAAATCCATTTGTGATCCTGCCCGTTCCATTGGATTATTACAGCACTGATTCTGCTCGTCGTGTTTTGTTTGTTTGTTGTTTAACGCCGCAGTCACCAATATTCCAGCTATATGACGGCGGTCTGTAAATAATCGAGTCTGAACCAGACAATCCAGTGACTGACATCATCAGCATCTATCCACGTAATTGGGATACGATGATATGCATCAACCAAGTCAGCGAGCCTGACCACCCGATCCCGTTAGTCGCCTCTTACGACAAGTATGGTCGCCTTTTAGGGCAGGCATGGGTTGCTGAAGACCTATTCTACCCCGGATCTTTACGGGTCCACAACAAAGAAACACGGGTACTTAAAGCGTAGCAGTCTAAGGAAAACTCTCAGTCCCGGAAAGTTGTATTCAAGCCATTCAAACACTTCTTAGTTTTTGAGAGTTTGTTTATCCTTCAGTTAAAGTTCCCTATTTTTTATTAGTTGATTTACAAATATCTGGCCTAAAATTCAACGTAGATAGAACAAAATAAACAAGTACTGATTAGTACTGCTACAAATGAATGTAAGAGAAGGCAAGATATCGAAAGGTATCTTAAGACCCGCCTTTTTTAAAATCGCGCGGTTTTTTTTCATTTCAAATAATTGTAAAATAGAGTCGGCCAAATTTCATTTTGTCCAAAGTTATTTTGTTTCTTATTTAAAGTGTTTTCAGTGTAAGCAGGTTTCGTAAACCAACAAAAACAATATATGGGCTTTAACAGAGACAACGTTTCAGTTTCAATCATAGAATGAATATCTATAAGAAAAATGAAAATGGGCAACAAACTGTGCCGAATACTCTCCCTTTAATAGTCTGCAGTGATATATATAGTACGGGATTCGATGGGCTTGCTGTCTCCAAAGTGTGAGTGAGTGAGTTGGGTTTAACGCCGCTTTTAACAGTATTCGAGTTATGTCACGGCGTGTCATATCACGGGGGCTCGTCATGTAGTAATTCTGCCTGTACTAACCCAGTGTATGTCTTCCCATCAGATTACCCAGGAGTGGCGGGAGATTGACTTCAAGGACCCGGACTCCGTGGTGATGGGCGTCACCAAGATCACTGACGTGAGTTATGTCAGCCTTACACGAAAGTTACTGGTGACGTTGTGTTTGTTTGTTTGTTTGTTGTTTAACGCCGCACTCACCAATATCCCAGCTATATGAGGGCGGTCTGTAAGTAATCGAGTCTGGACCAGACAATCCAGTGATTGACATCATTGGATCGATGACATGCCTCAACCAAGTCAGTTAGGCTGACAACCCGATCCCGTTAGTCGCAAACATAGTCGCCTCTTACGGCAAGCATGGGTTGCTGAAGACTTTTTCTACCCCGGATCTTCACGGGTCTACTGGTGCCGTAAACGTGCCAGTGGTTCAATGGTTTAGTTGCAGTCGTATTCAGTTTGTAAAGTTACCAACGCTGACATGTCACCTTTGTTTCTGCTGTTTATGGGACGTGTGATACGTGTATTTGAACAACCAATAGGTCACGTGTGTTGGTACAGCTGATACATCACGTGTGGTTCCACAGCTGATAACCTTCTCCGTTCTCTAGTGGTAGAGCGTCCGCTCGGAGAGCAGAAGGTCCGGTGTTCAATCACCGGTCGCGTCATCACAATAGACGTTAGAAGATGTTAACCTGCCTGGGGCTAAAACAAGGACTGGTCGGCTCGGAGTCAGTATACTGTATCTGAGTGGGGTATTTATGCTAAACTGTGGCATGGTATCTCAGTGGGTTAGCACTATAAGATCGGCATTAGTCCGGACTAGTACAAGCAGCCACACACACACACACACACACACACACACACACACACACACACACACACGAAAACGCGCACGCACGCACACACACACACACACACGTGCATGCATGTCGCTATATAAGTGCAATATTCTTGGACGCGACGTTAAACCCCATTTCAGATTGCAGATTGCAGATTATATATCACTTGTGTTTCTACAGCTAATCTGTGACGGTGCCCGTCTGTATGCTGACAAGATTCACACCATCCTGGAGAGGAACTGCTATTACGACCAACAGGAAGAACAATTTGATGTCAACGACAGAGTATGTAATCCACCTTCTATTTGCCTATTGGTGTTTACATGATGCACATGTAAACCTTCTAATGCTTATGGGGCACGTTGTATTGTATACTCCCCAGGGAGATGAGAATGAAAATCGAGTGCTTCTGACTGGTGTAATAGTGGATGGATTCGGCGCATCATTAATGTTATTGTTGCTGGTAGTAGTGGTAGTGGTAGTAGATCGTCAAGGCAACCTTAATCATATTTCTGTCACATGTACACGTATGTTCTATGTATGGATGAATCACGTGGTTGTGTTGAAAGATGGAGACCCCGAACGGATGGAGGTAAATGAGAGTGAGAGTATTAATGCGTCCCTTCGGACCTCCAATAACCTGTCGTGCACTCTCGTATTATTACCTTGATCATACTCTGAGTACATCTAGCTTCCTTCATTCTCTACAGCTGATGATAAACATCCTTCATTCTCTTCATCTGATGTTCACTTCCTTCATTCTCTACAGCTGATGTTAACTTCCTTCATTCTCTACAGCTGATGGTTAATATCCTTCATACCCTACATCTGATGTTAACATCCTTCGTTCTCTACATCTGATGTTCACTTCCTTCATTCTCTACAGCTGATGGATAACTTCCTCCATTCTCTACAGCTGATGTTAACTTCCTTCATTCTCTACAGCTGATGTTAACATCCTTCATTCTCTACATCTGATGTTAACTTCCTTCATTCTCTACAGCTGATGGATAACTTCCTCCATTCTCTACATCTGATGTTAACTTCCTTCATTCTCTACAGCTGATGTTAACATCCTTCATTCTCTACAGCTGATGTTAACATCCTTCATTCTCTACATCTGATGTTTACTTCCTTCATTCTCTACATCTGATGTTAACTTCCTTCATTCTCTACATCTGATGGATAACTTCCTCCTTTCTTTACATCTGATGTTAACTTCCTTCATTCTCTACAGCTGATGTTAACATCCTCCATTCTCTACATCTGATGTTAACTTCCTCCATTCTCTACATCTGATGTTAACTTCCTTCATTCCCTACAGGTGATGGATAACTTCCTCCATTCTCTACAGCTGATGGATAACTTCCTCCATTCTCTACAGCTGATGTTAACATCCTCCATTCTCTACAGCTGATGTTAACATCCTTCATTCTCTACATCTGATGTTAACTTCCTTCATTCTCTACAGCTGATGTTAACATCCTCCATTCTCTACATCTGATGTTAACATCCTTCATTCTCTACATCTGATGTTAACTTCCTCCATTCTCTACAGCTGATGTTAACATCCTTCATTCTCAACATCTGATGTTCACTTCCTTCATTCTCTACAGCTGATGGATAACTTCCTTCATTCTCTACAGCTGATGGATAACTTCCTCCATTCTCTACAGCTGATGTTAACATCCTCCATTCTCTACATCTGATGTTAACTTCCTCCATTCTCTACAGCTGATGTTAACATCCTTCATTCTCTACATCTGATGTTAACTTCCTTCATTCTCTACATCTGATGTTAACTTCCTTCATTCTCTACATCTGATGTTAACTTCCTCCATTCTCTACAGCTGATGGATAACTTCCTCCATTCTCTACAGCTGATGTTAACATCCTTCATTCTCTACATCTGATGTTTAACTTCCTTTATTCTCTACAGATGATAGTTAACTTCCTTCATTCTCTACAGTTGATGGATAACATGTTTGATTCTCTACAGCTGATGTTAACTTCCTTCGTATTAATGCTATTTTCGTGGCTCTCATCAACAAAAATATCCAAAATCAATAGAGATGGTACCACTGCTTAAAATACTGCTCTAACTATTAAGCCAAAGAATCACCATACAGTCTTGTATTATTTTACTACGGTAACATATTTGAGATGTACATGTTTCATTTCTGACAAGCTTTATAATGTCCTTAACAAACTATGAACAATACATACGTTTAAATGTACTACTATTGTGTGGTTGGCAACAAGCTTGTGTAAATTAAAAAAAACACCAAAAAAACCAACCTTCTTTAATATATACTTCAGTGTGAAAGACACAAATTGTCTCCTTTTATCGCAAGTGTCTAGCCCGTACACAAACTGTTGACGTCCATTTTACGTTATTTCAACACTGACAAGGCAAAATAATCTCTATTATTCACCACTCGTGTCAGAAACCACTATTTGCCTTGGTTATCCAATGTCCATCATGATAATCACAGTTTATGTAATCTACTCAACTCCAAAAATATCAACATTGTAAAGGCTTTGGCCTTATACTTAAATCATGTATTTAATGTGAAATAAGACTACTTGTATTTATTTTCCTGACATCACGTGACGCAGCAATTATTGTAATTGTAATTGTACTCTAGGCCACATGGCCCAAAATACTGAATAAAGAATCTTGAATCTTGAATCTTGAATCACTCGTGAAAATATCTCCTTTCCCTCGTCAGTCGATGAGAGAAACATGATATTTCACTCGACACAGGACATATCTTCTATTCTTTCATATTGTTCTTTGTGTCCAGCTGTGCATCACCCTGAACAACATCGAGCACGTGCGCCAGTACCTGAATCATCTCCCCGAGCTGTTGGAGTGGGAGGAGGTGGGGCAGTCACAGTCGGCGCGTCACGAGGACGCCAAGATCGGCAGGCAGTCCTTGACGACCCTGAAACGTTTGACTACCACCGCCAACCAGGACATCCTCATGAAGTCTTCGTTCCTGCTCCGGGAGATCGCGGTCAAGATGAAGACCAACATTCAGAAACTCATGGACATGTTCATTGTCAAGACCCCCGCGAAGGTTTCGGTAAGCTACGTCAAGGGACTCATTGTTGTCAAGGCTCCCGTGAGGGCCTTTGTAAGTTCAGTCAAGGGACACATCGTTGTCAAGTCTCTTGTGAAAGCTTCAGTAAGTTTAGTAATGGGACTCATCATTTTCTAGTCTCTTGTGAGGTTCGGTAAGTTCAGTCAGCGAACTCATCATTGCCAAGTCTCCCGTCAACGCCTTTGTAAGTTCAGTCAAGGAACTCACCATTATCAAGTCTCCCGCGAAGGCCTTTGTAAGGTCAGTCAAGGAACTCACCATTATCAAGTCTCCCGCGAAGGCCTTTGTAAGTTCAGTCAAGGAACTCACCATGGTCAAGTCTCCCGCGAAGGCCTTTGTAAGTTCAGTCAAGGATCTCATCATTGTCAAGTCTCCCGCGAAGGCCTTTGTAAGTTCAGTCAAGGAACTCACCACTATAAAGTCTCCCGCGAAGGCCTTTGTAAGTTCAGTCAAGAAACTCACCATGGTCAAGTCTCCCGCGAAGGCCTTTGTAAGTTCAGTCAAGGATCTCATCATTGTCAAGTCTCGAACGTGAATGCCTCTAAACGTTCATTATAAAGTATCAACTGTTCATGGTAAAGTCTCCCGTGAAGGCCTTTGTTATTTTCGTCATGGCACTCAACGTGTGGTTTATCTGAATGTAACCAAACTTCTTATCTAAAAGATATTTTGTGAAATTTAATCATACAGATCCATGTACAAGTAGACATCTATTAAACATGCATTCGTGGACAGGTTGAACATTGACCTTCAACTAAGTTATTCAAAGCTGAACTCATTTGTTTGATAATCAAAAAGACAGCCCACAAATGTTTCAAACCTACTAACTTGTAATCTCTCAAACCCCTTGACACTCTTATGAGTGAGTGAGTGAGTTGGGTTTAACGCCGCTTTTAACAGTATTCCAGTTATATCGCGGCGTGTCAGCTTAATGTGGGAGGAAAGCCCGAATGATGCAGGTTTCAGACGTTTATCACTTCGGTGAAACCCACGAGCACGGGTATGGTGCTGACAAACCTAGAAACATAATCGGGGCGAACCGGCATCGCACGTTTGAAGTGAGTATGGTTTTACCCATGTCGGGAATCGAACTGGCGTGACGAGGGAACGCTTTACTACTTGGCCACCCCCAACATTCCATTACCATACGAGAACATTAATGACATATTTACAAAATGGCCGCAATCAAACGACTCATTCTGACATTCGAGCCCACAATCAGACACTCTTTTGAACTCGTTAATGTAATGTCCTTTCTATGACCTCAACCACAGGCTGTAGACAAGACAATTGGATACCTGTCTACCAACTTGCAGACTCTAGACGACCGTCTAATGACGTCTATTTATCCCAAGATGATCGAGGAGCTGTGGGAGGTCGTACTGCAGATATTCTATGAACAAATGCAAATCGGGGTAAGTGGACTACCATCTTCAATCTAATACTGGATTCTGCGCTACATTGGTCACGAGACAAAGGGCACACCAATGGAGTGATTATGGTTTTAAGCGACTTGAATGTTCTAATCCATTAAAACGAAAAGCTATATGCTACAGAATGGAGGCCATTTTTCAAAGGGCCGTATTTTTTATATTGTGGCGGGGATGGGATGTTATCGAAAATAAGAAATTGTCCCCAAAAGTTCTCTGAAAAATATGCTTTTATTTTGGGAAAATTAGAAATTGTCTGCAACAAAAATTACATTGGTGAAAAAAACATATTTTAGCTCATAGTTTTAATTAAAAACATATCTGTTTTTTGCAGCTGCAGCCGAAAAATATCTGGTCTAAATCTCTCTTATCTGTAATTTCCAAAATTGTTTCTCTCCCAGTTTACATATTTGATTAGACAGTTAATTTAATTGGACATTCATTTATAGCCTTCTGTCATTCGAATCAGACATAAGCCTAAGCTATAGTGGGATTGGAGCCAGGGTATTCATCAGAAATAATGATGATAATAACCATAAACTATATGTAGATCACCAAGTATGGGTATGTGTACTGCTTAAAAATGTTAAAGAACATCCTCTTTTGCAATACCCACCAGCTAGATTAACAGATTAACTAAAGTAAAATGAAAATGTTGTATTTCTTATTTTGAGTAATTTATTTTATAAAGGCAACATCAAACTGGTTATAACCGCAAATAATAATAATAATAATAATAATAATAATAATCATCATCATCATCATCATAAAAATAAAAATAATAATAATAATAACACGAGATGATTGTACTTTCCTACTTCTGTTCCAGCAAAAGCCAGACTACTACGAACATATGAAGAGGGTAAGGCGCATCATTGTACATCCTGTTGAACTTCACAGATTCACGGCTACCAAATTTACAAAAACAATCAAAGAATGTTTCTTTGGAGACAGGGGGCACGGGTGGCCCAGTCGTCTAAGGCGCCGCAATTCGCTGTGCAGAGTTGCGTCCCTTGGGCATGCTAGAAACCTTTAATTGTCGGTTCGAATCCCGGTTCACCCCAATTATGTTTCTAGGTTTGTCAGCACCATACCCGTGCTCGCGGGTTTCACCTAAGTGGTAAACGTTTGACACCTGCATCACTTCGGGCTTTCCTCCCACATTAAGCCGATACGCCGTGATATAACTGAAATACTGTTAAAAGCGGCGTTAAACCCAACTCACTCACTCTTTGGAGAGAGCAAGCCCATCGAATCACGTGCTATAAATCTCACTGCAGACTATTAAAGGGAGACTATTCCGCACAGTTTGTTGCCCATTTATTTTTTTCTTATAAATGTTCATTCTATGATTGAACCGTTGTCTCTATTTAACCCAATACAGTGTTTTTGAGACCGGCTTACACTAAAACATTTAAATAAGAAACAAGATAACTTATTAAATGAAATTTGGCCGACTCTGTTTTACCATGAGGTGAAATGAAAAATACACACACGAGATTTAAAAAGGCTGGTCGTAAGATATCGTTCGATATCTTGCCTTCTCTTCTATTCATTTGTAGCAGTACTTGTTTATTTTTTTCCAACATCTACGTTGAATTTTAGGCCAGAATGTTTGTAAATCAACTAATAAAACATAGGGAACTTTACCTGAAGGATAAACAAACTCTCAAAAACTAAGAAGTGTTTGAATGGCTTGAATACAACTTTCCGGGACTGAGAGTTTTCCTTAGATTGCTACGCTTTAAGTACCCGTGTTCCTTTGGTGTGGACCCGTAAAGATCCGGTGTAGAATAGGTCTTCAGCAACCGATGCTTGCTGTAAAAGGCGACTATGCTTGTCGTAAGATGCGACTAACGGGATCGGGTTGTCAGACTCGCTGACTTGGTTGATACATGTCACCGTATCCCAATTGCGTGGATCGATGCTGGTGATGTCAATCACTGGATTGTCTCGTCCAAACTCGATTATTTATAGACCGCCGTCATATTGCTGAGTGGGGTGTTAAACAACAAACAAACAAATCCTTGTTGTGGGTACAGACTCGCTTCATCTTCTGGTCTGGTTTCAGCACCTGGGTGCCCTGACTACGTTCTTCCTGAGTTGTGGGTTGGAGGAGAAATTAGTCCAGGGTGCGGCGGAAGCACAGTTGAGGGCTCGCATCCATCTTAACTGTCAGCAGACTGGGATTCTCATGCAGGAATACTTCCAAGGCCTAGCTAATGGAATGGTAATACATTATGTTACATATATTTTTACCCTGTTGATATTGGTGCTAGTCAGGGCCCCATCCACCCTACCCCTCCTCCCTGGCGGGGAAGAGAGCTGACGGACACCCTTTAGGTTGTCTTGGTGGATCTAGCTACACACCCATGTCAGGTACAAAAGCCACCCTGTTACCGTAATTGCCCGTATAGGTATTATAGGGTAGCCTAGTGGTTAAAGCGTTCGCTCGTCACGCCGAAGACCCGGGTTCGATTCCCGACATGGGTAAAATGTGTGAAGCCCATTTCTGGTGTTCCACGCCGTGATAGTGCTGGGATATTGCTTAAAGCGGCGTAAACCCATACTCACTCACGCACTCACTAAAACAGACGAATAAATACCAGCCGGGTCTAGATTCCACGCCCATGTCTACTCAACAGTCTTAAAGTACTACTTACAATAAGGAGGTCTACTTGGCATTTATTTCAGTTATTAATACCATCAACAAAATCGATCACAGCACCTTTATCAAACAAAGATATTATCGATAAGGTTTCTTATCCTCTCTGTTTGTGAAATAGCCCCGCAATAACACGAGAACTTAGACTCTCTGTCTCAGTGGGTGATGAAATAGCCCCTCAAGCAACTCGATCGGACAGACAATCTCTAACAATCTCTGTCGTCGACAACTGCGGATACAGGACGGCATTGCGTCATCAAAGCAATTGAAATATCCCACTTGTTTCTCTGTGGAAATGAGTTTTGATAGTAACCGTAGCACCTGTCGTGTAATTTAACAAAAGTACACACACTCTCTCTCTCTCTCCTGTGCTGGAAGTTGACGTTACGATGTTCACGAAAGACTAGGGGCCCTTTCTGGTGACATTGAAGAATTAGTGAGGGCATGTTTCTCTCTCTCTCTCTCTCTCTCTCTCTCTCTCTCTCTCTCCTGTGCTGGAAGTTGACGTTACAATGTTCACGAAAGACTAGGGGCCCTTACTGGTGACATTGAAGGATTAGTCAGGGCATCTCTCTCTCTCTCTCTCTCTCTCTCTCTCTCTCTCTCTCTCTCTCTCATTATAAACTGTAAGAACGCCCATTACTGATTCAGAGTACACCTCCAGAATACCTGGGTCATCTGGCGATCAAGGCCGCCTACGTGGAGGAGACCAAGGGTATGGTCACAATAGGAGTTAAAGGTACGTCACTTTCAGACAGTCGCAAATAACACATTTCCCTCCGTTATTTCATCACGCGTCACGCTGCCCTACTGTAGTCCCAGTCTCACCGGATGTGTCTGTTCCACAGTGATGCGGGCAAGTGACCTGCCTGGACTGGACAACAGTGGCCTGAGTGACCCTTACGTCTTGATGAATCTCCAGCCACCCAATCTGTTTCACAACGTCAAGCCTGTCCGGACCAAAGTGGTGGAGAAAACTCTAAACCCTATCTTCAATGAGTCCTTTCAGTTGTAAGTACCCTTCGTATAGCTGCCACGGTGTTTAGTCAGGGCATCTCTCTCTCTCTCTCTCTCTCTCTCTCTCTCTCTCTCTCTCTCTCTCTCTCTCGCTCTCTCTCTCTCTTCGTTCGTCACGCCGAAGACCCGGGTTCGATTCCCGGCATGGGTACAATGTGTGAAGCCCATTTCTGGTGTCCCCCGCCAAGATATTGCTGGAATATTGCTAAAAGCGGCGTAAAACCATACTCACTCTCTCTCTCTCTCTCTCTTTCCATGAACCTTAGGAAACGCGCGTAAAATATATGTTGCTGGCGTAAGGATCTTGAAAAAACGGATCTCTAAAAACCAGAGTGGCTTATCAACACCTCTGTAGCCTCGTGGTACACTCACTCGGCTACAGATATGAAGGTTGCGAGTTCGATCCTCGGGAATATAAAAAAAACATTTGCAATTTGATTTTACATGTCATTACATGTTACAATCTGAACGGAAGTTACATTAATAAAATACCCAGGACATCAAATAAAATCCCTGGGTTATTATAGCAAATATGACTTGAATATCCTATAAAATCCCAGTGATATTATATAAAATCCCAGGGACATTACACCGTCCCTGTTTATGAGATTTAACCCGACTGGAAAGTAAAACCTCACAATAGGTTTTAATGCCTATAGAAAGAAGTCTCTTACTTAATAGCGATCCCAATGAATAGGTTTATAACTAACGATCCCGTCATCTACGCATGAGCCAATCTCATTAAAATCAGATCTTAGTTCTCGCTATCGCTAAACAAAGATCTAAGGACATCTCATTACGGGTCACGTCAGAACAACCTTTCATCCGACCAATCACAGCGTCGCTTACCAGATCATGAAAGTGACAGTCGGAATGTATTTTCTAATCATGCAACCTCGAAAACGTTAACACGGGGTATTCCGAACGACAGTTACGGCCCGTACGACTGATCCCGTCAAAATTATCGTCTATCTCTCGATTCCGTGGTATAAACACAGTTCGTAGGAAGCACTGCCATACACTCTCAACCATATATTAGACATTCCGGAATATTCGTTTGTTCAATTTTCGAAATATTAATCGAGAACTGTGTCAATATATTTTTCAAGCGTTGACAGAAATGGAATTCGCTAGGTTGAAACGAGTGCCGTAAAGCTCGAGAAAGCTGCTTTCTAATTGGCTGATGTCGACTTGGCTGATGTCATTTCAGTCGTCGGTCAAAGTTCGCGAAAGGTCGTCCTGACGTGACCCGTAATGGGATGTCCTCAGATCTTTGTTTAGCGGCAGCGAGAACATAGATCTGATTTTAATGAGATTGCGCTTGAGCCGACTCGTAACTGCCAAAGGCATTTTACGGGCGTGAAAACACACACGTGATGTCGAACAATAATAAACAGACCAACCGATTGCATTAAGGCGCATTAACAAAGATGAACCAGATGTAGTTTAAGGATTTGTTAACACTAGACAATACTATCCAAGCTAAATCATCAAGGATTTAAATACGCAATTACCTGTGCAGATCCAGGTTAGAATAGCAACCAACCCAGGCTCGATTATTTACAGACGGCCGCCATATAGATGGAATATTGCTGAGTGCGGCGTTAAGCAAACAAACAAACAAATAATCAATTACCTGTTCGACCCACACAGCGTGAGCACTTCTAACAAGTGTCCTTACACTTTCAGGGGGCACGGGTGGCCCAGTCGTCTAAGGCGCCGCGATTCGCCGTGCAGAGTTGCGTGCCTTGGGCACGCCAGAAACCTATGATCGTGGGTTCGAATCCCGATTTGCCCCGATTATGTTTTTAGGTTTGTCAGCACCATACCCGTGCTCGTGGGTTTCACCGAAGTGGTAAGCGTCTGAGACCTGCATCACTTTTGGCTTTCCTCCCACATTAAGCTGACACGTCGCGATATAACTGGAATACTGTTAAAAGCGGTGTTAAACCCAACTCACTCACCCTACACTTTCAGTATCATTTCATCAGTTCCACTACTCTTTTGTGAGGAGAATGTGTATGAAAAATTACTTTGTCAATTTTAGTATTGTTTCTTTTTATCATCATCGCATCGAGGAACTGTGATAAATGGCTCTGAATGCACTGTAATCCCCATCATGACATCAGCTTCTTAGCAAACAGGTGGACATCACGATAAGTTAAAGAAAGAGCATTTAATAATCAGATGTTATGTTACTTCTTTTGAGTAATATATTCGAGAATGATCATTTAAAAAAAATATATACCACGACACAAACGCCCCATGTAACCAAGTTATGTCCCCTTGTTACATTTCCCAACGCAGCGACAGAGTAAGAAGTCGTCCCTCATCGATTAAAATACCATTGATTTTGACGTGTAGTTTATTTTACAAAAACACTTCTACTTGTCTTGGCAGCCCGAATATTCCTTCCAGTCTGTTGACTGAACCTGGCGCGTGCATTCTCTTCTCCGTCCTCGACCACGACTACATGGTGTCCGACGACTTTGCCGGCGAAGTGGCCTTAAACATTTCGGCGCTTCATCCAATCAGAGACGAGGAATATCTTGATTCCACCCCTGTTGTCATGATGCCCCTGAAACGACCTCAACACGTCGCGGACGGCGCTTTCCAGGTAAGGCATTCACGTCATCAACGGACGTTTGAGTGAGTGAGTGAGTTGGGTTTAACGCCGCTTTTAACAGTATTCCAGTTATATCGCGGCGTGTCAGCTTAATGTGGGAGGAAAGCCCGAAGTGATGCAGGTCTCAAACGTTTACCACTAAGGTTAAACCCACGAGCACGGGTATGGTGCTGACAAACCTAGAAACATAATCGGGGCGAACCGGCAACGCACGTTTGAAGTGAGTATGGTTTTACGCCTATTTTAGCTCTATTCCAGCAATATCATGGAGGGGGCATCACAAATGATTTTCACACAATTTACCCATGTCGGGAATCGAACTGGCGTGACGAGGGAACGCTTTACTACTTTGCCACCTCCAACATTCCATTACCATACGAGAACATTAATGACATATTTAGAAAGTGGCCGCAATCAACCGACTCATTCTGACATGTAAATTTCTGAAAAGGTGTCTGGGTATGATCTACCAAATTTCTCAAGTGACTGTCACGTGACTGTCATGTTGCAGGTGCTGGAGGAGAGAAGCTCGTGGGATAAAGAAGCGAAAGCCTTCGTGACGGACAGGTTGAAATACATCATCAACCAGCCCCGAAGGCAGGGAAAAAATTCTCAAAACTCCTTCTTTTCCTTCTTCGGTCTCGGCACTTGAAGCTTTGTGGACGGACACATGGGTTCTCAGCTCGGCTTCTCGTGGCTACGATGTGCGCATGACGGGAAGTGTCTATAGGGTGGTTATGCAAGCTCCTTCCCAGCGCGTGACACCTTCGTTTCACTCTCGGTAACATCGCTGCCACCAGTGTGGGCGCGGCCATTTCAAGAATCTTGAAAGTTGGCCTCTTACCCCAAATGTAGTAACGTTCATACTTTTGTTTATGTCTTTGGGAATGCCATCATAGTGAATTTTGAAAAGGTTTACGACCGACCATGTTTTCCAGATGAATTTACTTTGTTGTTTGTATAATCAGATTGGTTCGAGATTGCAGACTAACGGAAAATCAACCAACTTCTCCCTTACATTCTTACTATATCAATAACATGATAGTTTTAATGAAATAGAAATTCAAATTGACAAACAAAGAAAGTAATTTAGCAGGGGTAAGTGTATTCGGCGTCACGACAGTCGTCACTTGTTTGTAAACATAACGGTCATTCGGTTGCGAGTTCAACTCCAAGCATGGTTGGGGCCACCTATCACAGTGGGGAGTTTTGACTGGTGGCAGCGAAAGCATAGAGAGCTCCGCGAACGGGCTATCGCTGCGAGGAGCTTGGGTGGTTATGATGGAAAGGGAGACCACTTCAGATATGGTCGAAGAGAAAAGAAATAAGACAGAAGGCGTATGAGTGACTGTACTGTTTCTTGTACGTTTAAGGATTGGACTCGACTTAACTTGGTTACTTTCTCACTATGGTAAATTAACCTAGCTTGGCCCACACAAATGCAATGTGTATGCATCAGATAACTCAACTCTAAGCTGTTCTAGTAGTGGTTTGATGCAGACCAAAAGTTTGGAACAGTAACGTCAACATTATGCTCAGGTGGCATCAGATATGTGAACAATATGATAAATTAGCCTCAGATAAGTCAGCAGTATGTTCAGGTAGCATTTTAGGATGCCTATGGTAGTACTTGTAGTACTGTCTTCACAGTCGATACATGCATTATATGGACCATCTTCCCGAGGCAAGGGAGTTAACTGACTATAAAAGTCCAGTTTCCACCCTTGCCGAACTTGGCTGGTATTATGGAGTTACGTTTTGGCTGGACTAATGAGTCTATGTATAGTCCAATCACAATCGCGCAACGAAATCGAAATCCGGTTCGTAAACTGTGGTGCAGATTTCGGTCAATTGCAGGATTTGCAAATCATTTGCACCGCCAACTCGTTTTCAACAGATCTTTTCCAATTTTGTTCATGTTTTTAATCAAGGTGCTCACGTGATTTGCTGCATTTCGCGATGTAAGGCCCGTTTTATCACAATATAGATCTTGATTATCGATCAGATCGTCTTGACTGGGCGCCGCCGTTTAGTTTGAAGCAAATGCAAGTGATACGAGAGGTGGAATCTGATTGGTCCATAGAAGAGGCATAGAAGGGACATAACTCGTAATAGCCACTGGTGGCGCTACGATCGAGCCCAGGAATTCAAGCATAGTTCAGCAAAGTCAGTTAACACTCTTGCCTCGGGGAGATGCATATGGACTGAAAACTGGTCCAATATACCCGATGTTCTCCATCCCGGTTTTAAGGAAATGTGCAATATGTATATAGAATTTTTATCTTATTTATCTCCGCGTTGTCCCCTGTTGAACATCATGTTGTGGGTCTTTGCATAATAAAATCAACCTCAAAATAACAATTTATATTGTGTGGCGACGAAGAAGCATTCCGATATAAAACGTGTGAGTAAATGTTGGCTTATTCCATGTCAGCAATATTCCAACGATATCAGGGGGCACGGGTAGTCCAGTTGTCTAAGGCGCCGCGATTCGCTATGCAGATTTGCGTCCCTTGGGCACGCCAGAAACCCATGATTGTGGGTTCGAATCCCGATTCGCCCCGATTGTTTCTAGGTTTGTCAGTACCATACCCGTGCTCGTGGATTTCACCGAAATGGTAAACGTCTGAGACCTGCATCACTTCGGGGTTTCCTCCCACATTAAGCTGACACGCCGTGATATAACTGAAATACTGTTAAAAGTGGCGTTAAACCCAACTCACTCACTCACTCACCCAACGATATCACGGCAACGTGTAAAACATTAAATCTGGGTCAGGCAAACCAGTCGCTAGCAACACTCGGAGAAAATCGGGAGGGTCGTCACTCATCAAGAAATCTGTACTTTAGTCGTTACTCAGAGCTTTGTTTAGCGGTAGCGAGAACTAAGATCTGATTTTGAATGAGATTGATAGTGTGATGAAAGGTGAGGTGAAATTGGGTTTAACGTCGCGTCCAAGATTATTGCACTTATATAGCGACGTGCTAGTCCGGACTGATGCCGATTTATAGTGCTAGCTCACTGAGATACCATGCCGCAGTTTAACATGAATACCCCACTCAGACACAGTATACTGACTCCGAGCCGACTAGTCCTTGTTTTAGCCCCTTAATGCCGAGCGCCAGACAGGGTAACAACAAGTACCATCTTTTAACGTCTTTTGGTATGACGCGGCCGGAGATCGAACCCCGGACCTTCCGCTCTCCGGGCGGACGCTCTACCACTAGACCACGGAGGCGGTCGATAGTGTGATGAGGTGAAATGGGGTTTAACGTCACGTTCAAGAATATTGCACTAAAATAGCGACGTGCAAGCACATGTGTGTTGGTGTACTAGTCCGGACTAATGTCGAGTTTATGGTGCTAGCCCACTAAGATACCATGCTACAGTTTAACATAGATACTCCACTGAGACACAGAATACTGACTCCGAGCCGACAAGGCCTTGTTTTAGCCCGCTAATGCCGAGCGCCAGGCTGGGTAACAAGAAGTACCATCTTTTAACGACTTTTAGTATGACGAGGCCGGGGTCGAACCCCTGACCTTCCGCTCTCCGGGCGAACGATGTACCACAATACAACGGAGACGGTCTGCTCTGATAGTACAGCAAACAGTAGCAAATGTAATGTTCAAGCGTCTGTTGACCCAATCCATGATCATCCTTGGCCAATCAGCAACACTGTATCGACTAAACTTGTATCGGCCAATCAGCAATGATGTAATATGTTTGACCAATCAGCAACCCTGTTCTGTTGGTACAGTTGGTAACACATCATCATGTAGACAGAGTGAGTGAGTTGGGTGTAACGCCGCTTTTAACAGTATTCCAGTTTTATCACGGCGTGTCAGCTTAATGTGGGAGGAAAGCCCGAACTGATGTAGGTCTTAGACGTTTACCACTTCATTGAAACCCACGAACACGGGTATGGTGCTGACAAGCCTAGAAACATAATCGGGGCGAACCGAGATTCGACCCCACAATCATAGGTTTCTGGCGTGCCCAAGGGACGCAACTCTGCACAACGACTGGGCCACCCGTGCCCCACATGTAGACAGAACTTCAGAGATACATTGTGTGATGTTGGACTAAAACTGACCCTACAAAACAGAAACTATTCAGCGGCTCTATACAGCAGTCATCATGGTCAACCAAGCAATACTACTTCATCTTGGGAGCTGCTGGATTTCAGTTTAGATACTGGCCGGAACTCGTGCACTTTCAGGGTTAGTGAACATAATGGGGTTGAACGTCACATTCAAGACTATTGCACTTACATAGAGACGTTGTGTGTGTGTGTGTGTGTGTGTGTGTGTGTGTGTGTGCGTGTGCGTGTGTGCGCGCTAGCCTGGACAAATGCCGGTTTTCATTGTCAATACACTGAGATGCCACCGTTTAAAATGGATACCCCACTCAGACACAGTACTGTATACCGCCCCAGAGCCGACCAGTCCTTGTTACCTTCTTTACTCGAGCGCCCGCAAGGTGACAACAAATACCACATTTGAACGTCTCTTGTAATGACGCGGCCAGGGATCGAACTCCTGACATTCCCCTTTCGGGGCAGACGCTCTATCCATAAACCACGAAGGCAGTCTTGTGCGCTTATAAACAGTAGTTTTAAAATCTTGCAGAACGATTATTTCTATAAATTAAATATCAAAAACATGTCAATGCATAGATCAGTTTATTTCATAAATATTTCTGTTCAAAATGTACCTCTTCTGTACAAATTTAAAATGTACTGTATAAAAAGTATCAACAAATCAACAAAAACAATTGTTCACGTAATAAGGCAACCAAGTACCGACGGTGAGCGTCCTCTGAATATGTCCGTGGCATGCTCATGTCGTTATCTGTTCCAACACCGACGCAAATGTGGGAGAGAAATACCCGATCAATAGCTTCTTATGTGATATTCTAAACACACACCTTGTATGACATATACAAAGAAGTCCCCTGATGCTGGCAGATGACGTAATGAGTGAGCGAGTGAGTTGGGTTTAACGCCGCTTTTAACAGTATTCCAGTTATATCGCGGCGTGTCAGCTTAATGTGGGAGGAAAGCCCGAAGTGATGCAGGTCTCAGACGTTTACCATTTCGAGGAAATCCACGAGCACGGGTTTGGCGCTGGCAAACCCTAGAAACATAATCGGGACGAATCGGGATTCGAACCCACAATCATAGGTTCCTTGCGTGCCCAAGGGACGCAACTCTGCACAGCGAATGGCGGCCATCCGTGCCCCCAGATTACAAAATGACTACCTGCACCGGTGAAATGAGGAGTGAGTCCAAACCGTGCATCGTCAATACTTAATGGGTTTGTTTACACTGTTTCTCCATCGCTGATGAATGCATACGGCTGTGAAATTGTGCCGCGTGTCTAGTAAGGCAATGAAAAAAAGACGTGTTTGACTCATGTCAAATGAGCCCAACTCTGTGCGTGAACGTTTCGGAATCCTATTGTTGCCTTATATCGAATCAAGGCGTTGAGGTAGATGGTTGCATGGCAATGACATACGTCGCAGGAGCAATATTGCCGACTTCATCCGAACTATATCCTCTATATCTCCGCGGCTGGAGTTTCTTAAACCTACCCTTACTCCTGGATCCATTCCCGTGGTTCTCAGGATCTCAAATTATGCCCTTAGTTTTCATCGGCGAATTTGATTCGCTGCGCTACTCAATCTGACGTACCAATCAGAATGTGAGAATGTTGGGTTCTTGAAATCAACACCATGGCAATACAAGTTACCTCCCTCACCTTAATTGGTCGTTAAAAAGAAAATCAAATGGGATCAGGTTTAACCTGTGTTCAATATTTTTGCACTTATTCAGCGCGGTGCATACACTGTGTACACTCAGACACAGTATACTGACTCCAACTCAACCAGTCCTTGTTTTAGCCTCTAATGCCGAGCTAGGCAAGGTAACAACAAATACCATCTTTAAATGACTTTTGGTATGACGCAACCGGGAATCGAACACCAGACATTCTGCTCACTGGGCGGACACTCTAATGTTTGACCACAGAGGTGGTCAGAGATCGCGAGATCCACGGAAAGGATAGAGATAATGTTTCTGAAGGTTGATTGGTTTGAGCACTTGCTGCTTTTCTTGATGTGGCTTGAATGCTTGAATACCAGCAGTATGTATTCACAGGTGATGGAGGAACAAAGTGTATACAAAACCCTGACGTATTGACAATGGTAATATAAACTATTTGAAACACTCAACATATGGCAGTCAAAAGTCAGAACTAGTCATCTTACCAGTATAACTCCAGAAAACCTTCAAAATGTGTTATAGGCCAATATACACTAAGAAGCCTAAAATAAACATTCTAATTTTTATTTTGAATTCTAAATGTTTGAGCTTTGGAAGAACCAGGGCAACCTTTTGGCATGTTAACAAGTGAGTATGGTTTAGCACAGCTTTTAACTGGGTCAGAGCATTGTGGGAGGACATCCCGAAGTGATTCAGGTCTTAGACGTTTACCACTTTGGGAAACCCACAAGCACATGTATGGTGCTTGCAAACCCAGCCAAACACCAGCCAGGTGACTCTGTTGAGAAACAAAGCTAAGCACCAGTGAAAGAGTGAGTGAGTGAGTGAGTATGGTTTTACGCCGCTTTTAGCAATATTCCAGCAATATCACGGCGGGGGACACCAGAAATGGGCTTCACACATTGTACCCATGTCGGGAATCGAACCCGGGCCTTTGGCGTGACGAACGAACGCTTTAACCACTAGGCTACCCGACAACACCAGTGAAAGATGTGTCAAGCATGACATGGGTGGATGTTGGTTGTGAAGCACGTCAGCTGCTAGAGGGATAGAACTGTTGTCTCTGCAGGTAGAGAAATCATACCTTATTGGGCTGGGACGGGTAACTCGGGTACATGGGTCGGGTGGGTACTGACTACCCAGACCCGCGGGTAATCACGTGATTATAGTGTTAAATGGCAAAAATTGTCTAGAACTCTATGGTTACACTATAAGTGATAAATGTTCACATTTCTTTCTGACTTTGCACATATTCCTTCTGACTTTATGTGATTGCATAATGATAAAAACATCAGTCAACTTCAGTGTATGCATGACCAGATCGGTTTATAGTGTATCTAAATGTATTTTGACAGGAGTATGGTCAAACTATTCCCAATGGGACATGTTTTACCTATCTCTTGAGACCTTCAGCGGGTACCCAGGTAGGGTCGGGTAATAGGGAGGGTGGTACCCGTGTAGCAAATTTGGACTTGTCCCAGCCCTAATACCATCCACTTCAACATCTGTTTGTGTACCTCCCCTTTTGGTACTTTTTACTCTGACTACCTGAACAACTGTTTTCAAAACGTGACAAATAAAATGAAAATGGTATGATAAAATGATGACAAAAAATAGTCATGAAGCAAATTGAAGAATGAAAATGTCATAACAACATGAAATCTAATAACCAAATAACCACTTCAGACAGAATCTGCAGTGGGAATCATGCACGGGGCAATCTTTGTTCTCCAAATCATGAACCCTCATTTCTGACACATATACAATTAAATGAAACGAGGATCATTTCTACTTTTTCAAATATAGAGACACCATGTTACTCTATAAGTGAGACAATCAACACCCCTCTGCCATATCCATCACAAGATTCAAACAATACTTGGATATATAAATATCTCCTAAACCTTAGGTCTGGTAAGTTGAAGTCAATGCTTTACATGAAATGAGATAGTCATATGCATGGTTTCCTTGAATATCCCATAGTTCACTTACCCAATTAAAACACAATTATCCGCATTGGAACCAGTCATAAGTCTCCAATAGAGATCATTGGAGTGTATAGAGAAACAAAATTTATGTACAAAACAAACCGAAACCATAAAGAGTTAGTTCAGGGTGCACATACTGGAACAATGAGTTGGGTTAACACCGCTGAGAACAGTACTCCAGTTGTAACACGTATGTCAGCCTAATGTGGGAGAAGTCCGAAGTGAGGCATGTCTCAGACGTTTACCACTTCAGTGAAACGCACGAGCACGGGTATGGTGCTGACAAACCTAGAAACCTACAGAGGGCAAATAGGGATTTGAACCCATAACTATAGGTTTCTGGCATGCCAAGGGACGTAGCTCTGCACAGTGAACTGCAACGCCTTAGAGAAGATTGGGCCAGCCGTGTCCCCTAAACAATCATGAAAAGATAACTTCAAAATCATTATTTTCTGCACTGGACCATAATAGTTGCCTCAAAAACAGGTTCTTAAGGCTTAAAAAATAAAAGAATTGGTTCTCAGGCAATGACATTTGAAAACGTAGTGCGGGCGGGTGGTTGTTTTTTTGTTTTTTTTGTGATGTTCAAACTAGTATGTACCCAAATAAACAGTTGTGTACCATCAACCTGGGAAAGAGCCGACCTTCATAAACAAGCATACAAACTTGTATTGCCGCCATGACCATAAGAGATGCGCAGTAAAGGAGTGCACATGTAAAGGGAAGTAACTGCATGCTTTATTGGATCGCATTGTTTTTAAGTATTAGGATTTCCTTATGTTTTTGGAAAATGGAAATAAAGATGTAACGTGCGGCAGACTTTATGATGATGCGGGCGGTGCCTGAGAACAAAGACTATTATTTTTTTGTTATATTGTTTCAAAATTGAGATTCAGAGTTCTCATTTTCTTAAATCCAGACAGACACTTGTGTGGTAATCTCTAGGTTGCACTCTTTAACATGAGTGAGTGAGTGAGTGAGTATGGTTTTACGCCACTCTTAGCAATATTCCAGCAATATCACGGCGGGGGACACCAGAAATGGGCTTCACACATTGTACCCATCTTTAACATGTTTAATATTTGCCCCTTAATCTTGTTCCCAGTGTTATTGGGTAGACTCTGAGAAGGCAACTCTATGAGAATGGATACTGATAAACACATACAGCCCTCTCCAAGTGTACCATATCTGGATCATGCTGACGTATACCCTTGATCCACCCACACCACAGCTTCTGGAAGTGACACGAGTAGCTCAATCTCTCATATCACTATCTTGATACAGAACTTCTCTCACTCAAGGGTTTGAAATCAACACCCAACCAATCAAAATGCTTCTTTTAATGAGAGTTCGGATTGGATCTCCATCCAAAATCGCTCACTCGTACAAGCAAGCTGTATATACTAAATCAAATGAGGAGACACTTAAATGATTATTTCCTGTAAAGCATTAAGACTGGAAAGTCAAAATCGTTATGCCACAAAGCACACCCATTGGGTGATCTGAAACGTGGTAGGTCAAAGACTGATGATATTTCTGCTCATTTCAATCATGAGAACAAAGTAATGTGTTTGGGCAGCTATTTTTGCATTGTCTTCTGCACTGCATTAACTTGATTCAAAACCAAGTTGTGGTGGTAAGTGCTCCAGGGTATTTATCATCAGAGAATGGAGATAAACTACACTGGATAATCGTGATGGAACAGAGGCAGCAGCTGAAAAGTCTCCTGTCCTGGACAAGGGCCCAATTGCACAAAGCGATCTTAGCGCTAAGATGATAATAACTCCCATACTTTAACATAGGCTTACAATGGTCTCAGCGCTAAGATCGCTTTGTGTAAGTGGGCCCAGAAGACCTGGACATCAGTCCTGTTTCCATCTGTGAATATGGAGACAACACTGTCCCACTTTCCACACTAGCAATGGATAATGGAATGAGGATGACACTGGAAGATGAAATAATGAGAAGCTGCATAGTTGCCATGGATATACGCATAGTATACATGCTTCCCCTGGAACCTGGTGACGATTCTCTCTCAATGGACACTCAGCATTAACAGCGCTACAGAAAAGAGGGATAGAGTGGGGTAACAATTGTAAGAGCTATACACAGGGATCTGTAGTCAGCAATGTTATAGCCATACTACAGTGACCTGTAGTCAGCAATTGTAGAGCAATACATCAGTGAACTCAAGTAAGCAATACAACAGCAAACCACTGTAAACTGTAGTTAGCAATATCACAGCTGCACCAATGCGACCTGCAGTCAGCAATATAACATCTACACCAGGCAGCCTGTAGTCAGCAATATATCAGTCATGGTCACACCATGGAGTCATAGTCAGCAATATCACAGCTCATCATGGTTACTAGCAATATTACAGTTATTATACCATGGTTACCAGCAACATTAGTTATAAGATGGTGACCAGCCACATTAGAGTTATACCATGGTGACCAGCATTATTACAGTTATACCATGGTGACCAGCATTATTACAGTTATACCATGGTGACCAGCATTATTACAGTTATACCATGGTGACCAGCATTATTACTGATACCATGGTTACCAGCAATATTACAGTTATACCATGGTTACCAGCAATATTACAGTTATACCATGGTGACCAGCATTATTACTGATACCATGGTTACCAGCAATATTACAGTTATACCATGGTTACCAGCAATATTACAGTTATACCATGCAGACCAGCATTATAACTGATACCATGGTGACCAGCAATATTAGCTATACCATGGCACCCTGCATTATTGTTGTTATACAATGGCGACCAGCAATATTACAATTATAGCAAGGCAACCAGCAATCTTACAGTTATACTATGGTGACCAGCAATATCACAGCCATACCCTGGCAACTAGCAATACTACTGACATACCCTGGCGACCAGCAATATTACCACTATACAATGGCAACCAGCAATATTGCCGTTATACCATAGCAACCAGCAATATTACAGTTATACTATGGTGACCAGCACTATTCCAGCCATACCATGGTGACCAGCAATACTACAGCCATATCCTGGCAACCAGCAATATTACAGCTATACCATGGCAACCAACAATACTACAGCCATTCCATGGCAACCAGCAACATTACAGTTATATAATAGTGACGACCTGTGACCTGTTGTCAGCAATATGACAGCTATACCATGGTTACCTGTAGTCAGCAATATTCCACCTAGACCACAGTGGCATATGCACATACATATGAACAACAGAACTTATTGGACTTAAAAGGCATGATTGTGATGAAAGCTGGTCATAAGTCCCTGTACTGTCAATACTTGAACATTATATGATCAGTGTGTACCTAATCTGGCCTCAAAAACCCATTTTACCTATAATAAGATTATCTCATGTTTCAGTTCACAGAGATGCCAGCCCTAACTGAAGTTTTAGATCAATCATTGGTGTAAAAAAGTGTAATTGCATGTGACAAAGACTTATGGCCTTGATTTAAGTTAAACACATGGACAAAACTCCGAATATTCACCAAATTTATCATGTGTCACTAATTAGCTGCTTTTCAGAAAGACAACGTGGTGTTTCAAGCTCCGAAGTAATTACAGTGTACATGCAATTAGTTCCCTGTCTGCACCCATAAAGATCAACCGATCGATAAAATGTGTATAAACATGACAACCAATGATGGACTTCGTATCATCATGGAATGGATATTTTAACACCATATGAATTAAAAGCATTGCTGTCCTTGGTCAGCATAGTCTTGCTGTAGAATTATAAAGGTCACTGATGCATTAACAATTTGCTCTCCGTGAATTTTTATGCATGAAAGTAATTCGTGAAAAATATAACAAAAAGATAATTTGGAGGAGGACAAGGGTAATAACATGATTTTAATTAACTATTACGCCACAATAGTCATGGCTGGCATCTCTGGATTTATCCCATTTTCCAGTCCAACTTCAACTCTTGCTGTTATTGTTTATTTGCTAATTGTCTTTTATGCCAAATACCTCAAATCTAATTGCATCCCCTATCACATAAACAAAAAAATAAACTTAAGAAGATCATAACTTGTTGCTTCCCACAAATGATGACATTAAGCTTCATACGACTTATCTGTCATTGTCCATCTTGATATTCCATCAATATATCCAGAGAATGATGTTTATTGAGAGACGGTTCTACCCAGAGAGAAATGAGCACACTGAATCTTGATGATATTATGCATCATTCAAACACTTCAATCCTCATGGAAGGATATTTGCTGTTGTCACTGTGACCTTTCCGACCACCTAACCTTGACCTAAGGTCACTCCTCACATGGTCCACAGAACTGTGAACACCAAGCCTTGCTCTCAAGTCCCCGTCACTGTCGTCACTTTCCCCCTCACTGTCACCGCTAGCCTTCCCTGAGGGTCCCAAACGTGACATAACATTTGACCTTGGAGTCTCTTCTCCGTCCTCAGACTCTTCCTCTGAACCTTCCTGTTCCTCCTCATCTTCACTGTCACTGACCAGAGGATTAGTCATTACTCTCAACCTGAGATCACCACCTCGAGATCGCTTTGTGGACTCTGGTGAACTGTCCCTGTTTTTGTCCATCTTCATCTGAGATCTCAACGCACTGCGTTTGATGAGTTCTCGGGCATCTGTAACTTTGCCAGCAGGTCTGCTGCGAGCACCGGCAACAACCGTCATCACACCACTCCCCTTCCCAAGTCGACTGAAAACAAAATTGACAAAGTGTGAAGTTGGTCTAAAAAAAAATGGATGTGGTTCAAACTGACTTAACTAGAGGTGTTTGCAAGTACCTGCAAAAACAGAATCGTCACCTCCACCACCATTCTTAACATTCTTAAAGCCCCTAAAATCTTATCATACCACCATATACTTCAAGTCAAAAAACCATTACTTCCAGACAATGACCTTATTTAGGAAAGCTTCAAAAGATCCAACAATTACTTACCCCCATGAGTGAGTGAGTGAGTTGGGTTTAACACCGCTTTTAACAGTATTCAAGTTATATCACGGCGTGTCAGCTTAATGTGGGAGGAATGCCCAAAGTGATGAAGGTCTCAGATGATTACCACTTCGGTGAAACCAAAGGGCACGCGTATGGTGCTGACAAACCTAGAAACATAATCGGGGCGAACCGGGATTCGAACCCACAATCATAGGTTTCTGGCGTGCTAAGGGATGCAATTCTGCACAGCGAATCACAGCGCCTTAGAAGACTGGGCCACCCGTGCTCCCCAACTACCATGACTACACAAGTAGAATTTGTGCCACTAAATGACAAAGAAAGCAAAAACCATGTTTCACAATAACCTCAAAGATGACCAGCTTATGACCTTGGATTCTCATGTTTCAAGTGGATTTGAAAGATACATGCAAACATAAAGATTCATGCCTTTAGGGGTAACCATGACTGAGAAACTGACAATGCAGATGTTTTCAAAAAATGCCATCCTTGACCTTTGACGTAGTTTAACAAAAACCTTTTCAAAGCCCCATCTTTGAGATGGTACATACCAAATTTAATGATAAACACAAAATAAATCCATCAATACTTTTTAAAAAGGGGAACCACAAACGTTTTTGAGTGATTTTTCTCATGACCTTGACCTTTTTGACATGTGCCAAAAAAAGTCCATTGAAGAGCATTCTTTATTGTCAATACTCTTTCTGTGGAAGACTTCAGAAAATTCTCTGCCACTGAAGGTCAAATTCTGATGAAAACTAAATCAGTCCCGTTTCAACATATTTAACGGTTAATTAAATCAGCAGAATTACAGGTCAGGTCCTCCAAATAGATTCTAACTGCGGATATCAGCCTGACAACCTGAAAATCCTGTACAGCACGTCCTAATCAGCTCAATTAGTTTACAGGTCTGATAATGGAATAACATGACATAAATTCATTTATGTCATGAACATGGGTGTCATGGATGGCGTCATTATCAATTATTTGCGACAATGTTTCGTTTTGTTGCGTTTTTTATAAATGCTGGACACAGCAATATTCCAGCTATATGACGATGGTCTAAGTAATGAAGTTTGGACCAAACAATCCAGTGACAATCCAAACTCTGGAAAATTCTATCATGTACATCAACATTCTTGCTAACCTAATCATTGAGTCACAACTTTCTTGAAACAAACCTCTTAGCTTTTCTCTCCTCCTCCTCATCGTCAGCATACATCCTCATTGACCGCTGTTTCCGAGCAGGGGGCCCAAGAAGCTGCTGCAGCTCTGCCTCCATGTCCATCCCGTCCTCACTCCCACTCCCGCCGCCAGACTCTGCCCGCTTCCTCTTGAGCGGGGACACTCTGGGGAGCTGGATCTCCTCCTCCACCTCTTCCTCCTCCGAGTTCCCCCTCTGTCTGGCCTCCCGCTCCTCTCGCTGAGATTCTATTGCATCCCTGGCTTCTTCTAACTCCTCCTCGAATGTCTTTGTGCGGAATCTCTGTTTTCTACACCACAGACAAGAAAAAAACATTACTCAGGTCTTCCTGAAGAGTAGGAGATCTCATTTTTATGACATTGCATGGCTTATCGGTTCCACAAGACTGTAAGCCATCGTGACTATGTCAAAAAATGAAGCAACAAAAAAGAATAATCAGTGGGTTTTTTTCAGTAAACTTCATTAAATTTGTCTCAGCAACTTTAAGTAATTCTATGAAAACATGACAAATGATACATAAAATTCCAAATGATGAAGTGCAGCTTACCTTGAGTTGCTGATGAGACCCTTCATACCTGGAAGTAAAATAGTCACTATTTAGTATCTCATGTACATTTGTCTACCTACATGGGAAGCAAGTTTGGGTTAACGTTACTTTGAACAGTATTTCAGTTAGATCTCAGTGAGTCAGCTAGATCCTGAAGTGATGCAGGTGTTAGATGTCTACTGCTTTCTTTAAAGCCCACAAGCACAGGCATGGAGCGGACAAACATAGAAACAAGACCATGGCGAACGTGGATTTGATTACATGATCATTGGTTTCTAGCATGCCTACCAGACACAACTCTGCTTAAGACAACTGGGGCACCCACGTTCACCGACCACCACCTGCGTCAACCCACCACCACCTGTGTTGACCAACCACAGCCCATGTCCACTCACCACCCGCGTCCACCCACCACCACCCGCGTCCACCCACCACCACCCGCGTCCATCCACCACCACCTCTGTTGACCAACCACAGCCCGCGTCCACTCACCAACTGCGCCCATCCACCACCACCCGCGTCCATCCACCACCACCCGCGTCCATCCACCACCACCTGTGTTGACCAACCACAACCCATGTCCACTCACCAACTGCGTCCATCCACCACCACCTGTGTTGACCAACCACAGCCCGCGTCCACTCACCAACTGCGCCCACCAACCACCACCCGCGTCCATCCACCACCACCTGTGTTGACCAACCACAGCCCGCGTCCACTCACCACCCGCGTCCACCCACCACCACCCGCGTCCACCCACCACCACCCGCGTCCATCCATCACCACCCGCGTCCATCCACCACCACCCGCGCCCACCAACCACCACCCGCGTCCACCCACCACCACCTGTGTCCACCAGGGGTACCCACCACCACCCGCGTCCACCCACCACCACCTGTGTCCACCCACCACCACCCGCGTCCATCCACCACCACCCGCGTCCACCCACCACCACCCGCGTCCATCCACCACCACCTGTGTTGACCAACCACAGCCCGCGTCCACTCACCAACTGCGCCCAGCAACCACCACCCGCGTCCATCCACCACCACCCGCGTCCATCCACCACCACCTGTGTTGACCAACCACAGCCCGCGTCCACTCACCAACTGCGCCCAGCAACCACCACCCGCGTCCATCCACCACCACCCGCGTCCATCCACCACCACCTGTGTTGACCAACCACAGCCCGCGTCCACTCACCAACTGCGCCCACCAACCACCACCCGCGTCCACCCACCACCACCTGTGTCCACCAGGGGTACCCACCACCACCCGCGTCCACCCACCACCACCCGCGTCCATCCACCACCACCTGTGTTGACCAACCACAACCCATGTCCAGTCCCCAACCATGCCCACCAAACACCACCCGCGTCCACCCACCACCACCTGTGTTGACCAACCACAACCCATGTCCAGTCACCAACTGTGCCCACCAACCACCACCTGTGTCCACCAGGGGTACCCGCCACCACCGGCGTCCACCCACCACCACCTGTGTTGACCAACCACAACCCATGTCCAGTCACCAACCACCACCTGTGTCCACCAGGGGTACCCGCCACCACCCGCGTTCACCACCACCCATGTAAACACCACTCATGTCCACCCATGTCCATCAATACTTGTGCCCGCCCGCCCACCACCGCGTCAACCTTCTCCCATATCCACCCACACACAAAGAATTAGGGCAATAGGGTGGAGCTTCCAATTGCAAAAACACTTGTCTTTACTTCCATGCAAAATTCTTCTCCAGCAAAATAAGATATGATACTGGCTAACCACATGCTCAGCCCACTCCTCCCCAGACAGGGCTGAAACAGGAGCATTCATAGCAATCTGTTAGGAATTTGATTACAACACCAACCTCCATAATTGGGATTTCCATATTTCCTGTAGTACTTGCTTCTGCGTTCTGCTCGAGGAAGTTTCCTGTCGGCTGTAAAGATATGATCACTTGAAATAGAACAATATTCACAAACTAATTAGGAGGTATTTCCAAGAAACCATGAGGAGGGGCAGATATTTCTTGATAGAGATGAGTCAAAATTTCCCTGGAACAAAGAGAAGGAGGCAGCAATTTCCCTGGAACAAAGAGAAGGGGGCAGCAATTTTCCAGGAGCAAAGAGGAGGGGACAGAGATTTCCCTGGAACAAAGAAGGGGGCAGGGATTTTCCTGGAACAAAGAGGAGGGGGCAGAAATTTACCTGGAACAAAGAGAAGGGGGCAGGAATTTCCCTGGAACGAAGAGAAGGAGGCAGGATTTTCTCTGGAACAAAGAGAAGGAGGCAGGAATTTCCCTGGAACAAAAAGAAAGGGACAGAAATTTCCCTGGAACAAAGAGAAAGGGGCAGGGATTTCCCTGGAACAAAGAGAAAGGGGCAGGAATTTCCCTGGAACAAAGATGAGGGACAGGATTTTCTCTGGAACAAAGAGAAGGAGGCAGGGATTTCCCTGGAACAAAAAGAAGGAGGCAGGGATTTTCTCTGGAACAAAGAGAAGGAGGCAGGCATTTTCCAGGAACAAAGAGAAAGGGGCAGGGATTTCCCTGGAACAAAGAGAAAGGGGCAGGAATTTCCCTAGAACAAAGAGAAAGGGGCAGGATTTTCTCTGGAACAAAGAGAAGGAGGCAGGGATTTCCCTGGAACAAAAAGAAGGAGGCAGGGATTTTCTCTGGAACAAAGAGAAGGAGGCAGGCATTTTCCAGGAACAAAGAGAAGGAGGCAGGAATTTTCCAGGAACAAAGAGAAGGAGGCAGGAATTTTCCAGGAACAAAGAGAAGGGGGCAGGAATTTCCCTGGAACAAAGAGAAAGGGGCAGGAATTTCCCTGGAACAAAGAAGGGGGGGCAGAAATTTACCTGGAACAAAGAGAAGGGGGCAGCAACTTCCCTGGAACAAAAAGAAAGGGACAGAAATTTCCCTGGAACAAAGAGAAAGGGGCAGGGATTTCCCTGGAACAAAGAGAAGGAGGCAGGAATTTTCCAGGAACAAAGAGAAGGAGGCAGGAATTTCCCTGGAGCAAAGAGAAGGAGGCAGGAATTTTCCAGGAACAAAGAGAAGGGGGCAGGAATTTCCCTGGAACAAAGAAGGGGGGGGGGCAGAAATTTACCTGGAACAAAGAGAAGGGGGCAGCAATTTTCCAGGAACAAAGAGAAGGAGGCAGGAATTTTCCAGGAACAAAGAGAAGGAGGCAGGAATTTTCCAGGAACAAAGAGAAGGAGGCAGGAATTTTCCAGGAACAAAGAGAAGGAGGCAGGAATTTTCCAGGAACAAAGAGAAGGGGGCAGGAATTTCCCTGGAACAAAGAAGGGGGGGGCAGAAATTTACCTGGAACAAAGAGAAGGGGGCAGCAACTTCCCTGGAACAAAAAGAAAGGGACAGAAATTTCCCTGGAACAAAGAGAAAGGGGCAGGGATTTCCCTGGAAGAAAAAGAAGGAGGCAGGAATTTTCCAGGAACAAAGAGAAGGAGGCAGGAATTTACTCTGGAACAAAGAGAAGGAGGCAGGAATTTTCCAGGAACAAAGAGAAAGGGGCAGGAATTTCCCTGGAACAAAGAGAAGGGGGCAGGAATTTCCCTGGAACAAGGAGAAAGGGGCAGGGATTTCCCTGGAACAAAGAGAAGGAGGCAGGCATTTTCCAGGAACAAAGAGAAGGAGGCAGGAATTTTCCAGGAACAAAGAGAAGGAGGCAGGAATTTTCCAGGAACAAAGAGAAGGGGGCAGGAATTTCCCTGGAACAAAGAGAAAGGGGCAGGAATTTCCCTGGAACAAAGAAGGGGGGGCAGAAATTTACCTGGAACAAAGAGAAGGGGGCAGCAACTTCCCTGGAACAAAAAGAAAGGGACAGAAATTTCCCTGGAACAAAGAGAAAGGGGCAGGGATTTCCCTGGAACAAAGAGAAGGAGGCAGGAATTTTCCAGGAACAAAGAGAAGGAGGCAGGAATTTTCCAGGAACAAAGAGAAGGAGGCAGGAATTTTCCAGGAACAAAGAGAAGGGGGCAGGGATTTCCCTGGAGCAAAGAGGAGGGGACAGGAATTTCCCTGGAACAAAGAGAAGGAGGCAGGAATTTTCCAGGAAGAAAGAGAAGGGGGCAGGAATTTCCCAGGAACAAAGAGAAGGGGGCAGGAATTTCCCTGGAACAAAGAGAAGGGGGCAGGAATTTTCCAGGAACAAAGAGAAGGGGGCAGAAATTTCTCTCGAACAAAGAGAAGGGGGCAGGAATTCACCTGGAACAAAGAGATGGGGGCAGAAATTTCCCTGGAACTTAGATAACTTACCTTTAGTGGCAAAGCGGAGGAAGATGAATTTAGCTTTAGGTGCATTAAGACCGAGCCTCCATTTCCCAGGTGGCCAGGGCACTTGTTCCTTGTGCTTGGGTTTGCTGTCCTTGGTGTTGATGCTTCCCCACTCGTCGTAGTCGACCTCTTCTTCCTCCTTTGTGGACTCAGTCGACTCCGCCCTCTTGTTCTACAAATAAAAATATCGACCGATTTGAACCAAAAATGTGCATTTCAATTGGAGCAACCCTTTATCCACAACAAAATGTTGTGAGGTGAGGTGAGGTGAAATGGGGTTTAACGTTGCGTCCAAGATTATTGCACTTCTATAGTGACGTGCATGCATGTGTGTGTGCGTGGCTGCTTGTACTAGTCCAGGCTAATAGTCGATTTTATAGTGCTAGCACACTGAGATACCATGTCACAGTTTTTAACATGAATACCCCACTCAGACACAGTATACGACTCCGAGCCAACCAGTCTTTGTTACCCAGACAGCGTAACAACAAGTACCATCTTTTAATGACTTTTGGTATGACGTGGCCAGGGATCGAACCCCGCACCTTCCGCTCTCCAGGCCGGACGTTCTACCACTAAACCACGGAGGTGGTCAACAAAATGTTGAGATAAGGTGCAGTATTGACCATGTTGACAGCTTCTGCAGCTGAACCAACAAGTTGTCCATTGGACTCACGGGGGACATGGTTTGATGTACTCGCCATGTCCTGCAGGCTCGGGGGAACATATACTCACATAGAGGGGACATCAACCCATGTCACCGAGGGACCAGTGGACAACAACAACATTTGAACTACAGAATGAACGACATACTGATTACAACAAATTACTTAAAGATGAAAGACGATAAGGATCATGTAGATGTTTTGTTTGCAATTATGAAAACATAATGTCACACTCAGGAAAGAGTGAGTATGGTTTTACGTTGGTTTAGCAATATTCCAGCAATATCACTGCAGGGGTCATCAGAAACGGGCTACACACATTGTACCATGTGGAAATTGAACTCTGACCTCTGGCCCTGACAAGTGCACCCTTATCTTCCGTCATCCACAACAAGACATTCAGAATAAACTTAACCCAGGGCCATGGACAGTCTGCTCCTGGAGCACCATTTGGTGGATCAAACCCCATCTTCCCGAGGCAAGGGAGTTAACTGACCATAAAAGTCCAGTTTCCACCCTTGCCGAACTAGGCTGGTATTATGGAGTTTCATTTTGGTTTGACTAACGAGTCTATGCATAGTCCAATCACAATCGTGCAACGAAATCAAAATTCATAAACTGTCATGCAGATTTCGGTCGATTGCAGGATTTGCAAAGCATGTGCACCGCCAACTCTTGTCAACAGATATTTTCCAAATCTTTTCATGTTTATAATCAAGGTGCTCACGTGATTTGATGCACTTCTCGGTGTAAGACCCGTTTTATCACAATATAGCGCTTGATTATCAATCAGATCGTCTTGACAGGGCGCCACCATTTTGTTTGAAGCAAATGCAAGTGATACGAGAGGTGGAATCTGATTGGTCAATAGAAGAGGCGTAGAAGGGACATAACTCGTAATAGCCTCCGGTGGCGCTACGATCAAGCCCAGGACTTCCAGCCTAGTTTGGCAAGGGTAGAAACAGGACTTTTAAAGTCAGTTAACTCTCTTGCCTCGGGATGTTGATCAAATCCAGGCATTCGTCAACATGAGCCGAAGTTTTAGCCACCCCACCACTCATACTCATGACAAACCACATTTTTCAACTATTCGTTTAAAAAAATATACATATCCTGAATAGTCACAATCTATGCTCAAACACCTTGCATGAAAAAACGTCTGTATCAGGCTAAAACAAGAGTCATCAGAAAGATGACATATCCCCCCAGCAGCTGTCTGTAAAGTAACCACTAGTAAATGTGCAATTCTGTATGTAATGAGTCAACAGTTGAATGTTCTTTTAGAAGCATACATTGTTTACCCACTGAATGGTTTTCGAATTCTGGCCCGGAAACGAACCCGTTCCCCAATGGAGTCTAGGTCCAACTTCTTTCCATAAAAATTGTAAAAAATAAAAATTTGTAAAAAAAATAATATCAAAAGGCATCACTTCAGTATGTGCCTGATTGCTGATAGATTTGCCAAGTTTCGATCAAATACACTGAATGGTTTTCGAATTCTGCCCTGGAAACGAACCCCATCCCCAATTGAGTCTATGTCCAACTTCATTCCATAAAAATTGAAAAAAATAAAAATTAGAAAAATCCCAAAATATCAAAAGGCACCACTTCAGTATGTGCCTGATAGATTTGCCAAGTTTCGATCAAATACACTAAATGGTTTTCGAATTCTGCCCTGGAAACGAACCCCATCCCCAATTGAGTCTATGTCCAACTTCATTCCATAAAAATTGAAAAAAATAAAAATTAGAAAAATCTCAAAATATCAAAAGGCACCACTTCAGTATGTGCCTGATAGATTTGCCAAGTTTCGATCAAATACACTGAATGGTTTTCGAATTCTGCCCCGGAAAAGGAAATGATTACGGACGGACAGACGGACAGACGGTCAGATGGACAGACGGACGGACAGACAGACTGGCTGATCGCTATATCCCCCCGCATTATATGCCGGGGGGGATAAAAAATAGTCTTTGTTCTCAGGCACTGCCCGCATCATCATAAAGTTTGCCGCAGTTTTCCTTTTTATTTCCATTTAAAAAAAAAATATCCTTAAATATTCTTAGCCCAATGGTAGTCAAATACTGTATTCCAGTATCTTACTCATCAAGGAATACATTTATGTAGGGAGGCCCTTTCCCAGGTTGATGGTACACAACAGTTTATTTGGTTAAATACTAGTTTGAACAAGCAAATAATTATTTTTTTTAAAAACCCACCACCCACCCGCACGTTATTTACAAAAGCCATTGCCTGAGAACCAATTCTTTTATTTTCTTTAGCCGAAGTGACCGCTTTTACCAATATTCCAGCAATATCACAGCGGGGGACTACAGAAATGTATTACAACAAGCTTATCATACACATATAATGACTTTCTAAACATCCATACCTTTCTCTTTGATGAGGTATCTTCATCTGAGTCTAATTTCACATCACCAGCATTTGAAGGCTTCTTTTCTTCAACAGCTTTATTCACTTCTTTCTTTTCTTTTTCATCCTGCCCATCTGTGAGGAGATCCAGCTCATCATCGTCTACCTCCATGCCCTGCTCCTCTCCTCCCTCCTTCACACCATCCTTCTCCTCCTTGTCCATCACCGGAGTCTTCACATCACCTGGATCAGGCAGAGGAAGAGGGCCTAGTGATATTAGTGCTGTGACCAGATATATAATGAGTGTGTTGGCTGGGGTTGATTTAACTGCTGGCCTGTTGGCCTGTGGCCAGTTCAAATTACAAAGGGCTTGCTGAAATGTAAAGTAATTGGTCCGCCTGGCCAGTCAAAAGTTCACCCCTTTCCATGGATATTATATTTTCTTAATAAGACACTACTCAGCATGCTCAGGGATCATGTTATTTTGAAGAGAAAATAATTAAGGGGGGAGGGAGGGGGGGGCTGAGGTCTTTTGACTCGTTAACTCAAAGAAAGATATATGACGATCATCTCGGTAGAATGACAACCGGACGACATTTTGTCATGTGTACAACAACTTCTAATTTGCTCATAAATCACCTCGAAATGAGGCAAATAGAGGCCAAGAATTTATCTTAGAGTGCAGGAAAAGGCAATTCACGACTGAGGAGCTCTCAATTTTCAAAGCCCCGCTAGGTGGCTATGCAACCACAGGTTCGGCCACTTTGCTGCCTCCACCATTAAGTTGTAGTTAGTTTGGAGATGGGCCAGTAACTTTTAAAAGGAGCAAGCCCTGCTGGCTACATTCACATTTCTTGATAAGTCTATCCCAGGTTGCGTGATATGATATTGCTGTGACCATCTATACAATGAGTGTGTTAGGCGATCTGTTATTGCTGTGACCATCTAAACAATGAGTGTGTTGGGCGATCTGATATTGCTGTGACCATCTATACAATGAGTGTGTTGAGTGATCTGATATTGCTGTGACCATCTATACAATGAGTGTGTTGGGTGATCTGTTATTGCTGTGACCATCTATACAATGAGTGTGTTGCATGATCTGATATTGCTGTGACCAGCTGTATAATGAGTGTGTTGGGTGATCTGATATTGCTGTGACTATCTATACAATGAGTGTGTTGGGTGATCTGTTATTGCTGTGACCATCTATACAATGAGTGTGTTGCATGATCTGATATTGCTGTGACCATCTATACAATGAGTGTGTTGGGTGATCTGATATTGCTGTGACCATCTATACAAAGAGTGTGTTGGGCGATCTGATATTGCTGTGACCATCTATACAATGAGTGTGTTGCATGATCTGATATTGCTGTGACCAGCTATACAATGAGTGTGTTGGGTGATCTGATATTGCTATGACCAGCTGTATAATGAGTGTGTTGGGTGATCTGATATTGCTATGACCAGCTGTATAATGAGTGTGTTGGGCGATCTGATATTGCTGTGACCAGCTGTATAATGAGTGTGTTGGGTGATCCTCTGATATTGCAGTGACCAGCTGTATAATGGGTGTGTTGGGCGATCTCATATTACTGTGACCAACTGTATAATGAGTGTGTTGGGTGATATTCTGATGTTGTTGTGACCAGCTGTATAAAGAGTGTGTTTGGTGATCTGATATTGCTGTGACCAGCTGTACAATGAGTGTGTTGGGTGATCCTCTGATATTGCTATGACCAGCTCTATAAAGAGTGTGTTGGGTGATCTCATATTGCTATGACCAGCTGTATAAAGAGTGTGTTGGGTTATCTGATATTGCTGTGACCAGCTGTATAAAGAATGTGTTGGGTGATCCTCTGATATTGCTGTGACCAGCTGTAGAATGAGTGTTGGGTGATCCTCTGATGTTGTTGTGACCAGCTGTAGAATGAGTGTGTTGGGTGATCTGATATTGCTGTGACCAGCTGTATGATGAGTGTGTTGGGTGATCTAATATTGCTGTGACCAGCTGTATAAAGAGTGTGTTGGGTGATCTGATATTGCTGTGATTAATACCTCTCTGATACCTCTAAGGTGTATTTACAATACTACAGACTGATGTTGAGTGGACAAGGAAGCTTAGGCAGACACAAACACACGTAGTTCATGTTAACATAAATATTAGGCTGCATCTTCAATAATAATGTTTTACATAGCTAAATCGAGCCCCGGAATCCTATCAAGGATCAGACTGAAAAGGAAACATCAGTGGGAGTGTAAAGCCATTTTCAACAATGGAATACAGCAGAACAGCTCTTTCTACCCGCAAGTCAAAAACTGTAGAAAGAAAAAGATGTTCGTGGAAATATCAGTTCCTGATTATCAAACCCCAAGTTTATCAACCACACCTTTAGTATACAACAAATATCACTTTTTACCTTTTTTCTGGCCTTTTGATTTTTCATCGCCACTCATCAATTCCGAGCCGGACTCTTGACTGCGACTCATTTTGAGCATCGCCCTTGCTGCAGTCGTGGGGTCAGCCCAGACCACATTACCTACACACCAGGAAACAAAAACATGTCAATGTTACCCAGTCTGCAACTTTAGCCACTAGTCCGCAGCTTCAATCTAGTACAATTCTGTTCAGTGTAGCAAGCCCAACCAATAATAGTCCCCATAATAACACTGAGAACATTGCGGTAAGAGCCACGTTAAGATCAGAGGCTAAGCACAGACTGGCTAAATACACTAAGAACCATGCTTATCCAGGCCATAGTTCTCAAAGATAGACTGATTAACCTGATGATTTTCATCTGTCACTTTAATAATCAGCAGATCAGTGCTGAGTTCATGTGGAGCAGATACTAAGTTAACACTTCAGTGTCAAAGTTGAGGATGAAAATGGAGGGTGTCCTTGTCGCAGCCAAATATTCGACGTATTCAACGTAATAAGCGCCCAGGGCGGTCTCAAAATTAGAAATAGGGGGCTCTTATTAGAATATTATTTTGGTGAAAAAAAACAGAGTTGAAAGATAAATTTCGTGGTTTATGGTGACAGCTTGAAATGTTTATGTACGACAGATATATTTTTCCAGAATTTGATTGCTCATAACTAAGGGTGCATATAACACACGAGTGTGTATTATACGCGAATAAAAAAGTCTTGCGAACATTGATCAATCGGAAGGGGTGCTAATTGGGATTGTTCACTAGCCAATATATCAGCAAATATCGCTGTGGGCGCTTATTAGAGCGGGGCGCTTATTACGTCGAATACGGTAATATTTTTAATGTTAAAACTTTGGATGTAACAACACAAATACCATGTTAATGTGAAAAATTAAAAAATTCTCTAAAATCTCTAAATCAAAATAATACAGCAAACAATCGCAAGGAGCAAAGGGTTCTCTTGACTGCAAACACTGAAGACTTAGTGTTGTTATTCCTGAATAAAAGGACAATCTTAAAAATGACATTTCACTTCAGAGCATTCCTTGTCTACCAGGATGGGCACACACAATACTGCCTGACCTTGACATTTGACATGTCACGTCCACATCACCGACTTGTGTCCTCTATGGTAGCATGTGTCCAGTGGACATTCACCTCTTTTCACTCAACCAATGAATGAACACATCAAGTGTCACTGAAAATGCTTTCGTATTTCTTTTTCACGGAGAGTATACATGTATTAGAATTGTTCCAACTCCCCGAAACCAATTTATCTAAAACTTAAGGTATGCTAGGGCAAGTGATAATTTCTTACCTTTTGACAGTTGGCCCACATGTAATCATTGTTTGGATAGCTACTGAGAAAAATTACTAACTTCCCATTGCATTCATGTCCAGACTCTGTGAACCTGTCGTCTAAAAATAGTTCCCTATTTCAGCAGATTCTATTTAGAATAGGGTTCTCTGACATGGAATACCTATGGAGTTAAGACAATGCACGAAAGTGTGTACATACATGAGGAATCATCGATCCACTCCACACCTCCTGGTGCGAACTCCTTGAAATAGCGGAATATGTCCTGTGTGCTCATGTCTTCAGTCCCACGGATGTGGATAGCTTCTGGCCTGACTCCACGCTCGCCATGGCTGAAGTCAGCATCCTTAATGCCCAGACTGGAAGTAAAAGCTACAAGCTGACAAGGGAAGTTACTGCATAAGAGAGTCATGCAGTCTGGTTTTACATGCTTTGAAAATGCTGAACATGTTTTCAAATATATCACAGCGTGTCAGCTTAATGTAGAAGGAAATTCTTCAATGCGGGTCTGAGAACATGTTAGATGTTTACCACTTTGGTGAATCCATCGTGCTGACAAACATCATCAGGGCGAACTGGGATTGTATGGATTCAGTTGTTAAGCCCGTAACTATCGTTTTGAATACCCTGTGTTAAAGTTTTCAAGGTTGCATGATTAGAAATCACATTCTGACTGTCACTTTCTTGATCTGGTAAGCGATGTTCTGATTAGTCGGATGAAAGGTCATTCTGACGTGACCCCTAATGGGATGTACTCAGATCTTTGCTTAGCGGTAGCGAGAACTAAGATCTGATTTTAATGAGATTTGATGATACCCCTGAGGACCACAACTCTGCATGATGTGCACAGTGAATTGCACCTCAGATGACTGAGTCTCCTGTGTCCTTCAGTTACTGCATTAACTACATAAACGTACGCCAAAACTCATCATATATAAATTATTAATTTCTTTAGCGCCCATAGTTACTTATTTAACTCAGGGACTTAAAAGCAAATTTTTATTATCTTTGTGATCATGACAAATCTTTGATGTCCAAAGATGATGAAGATGGGCAGTTGTACTCGCTGAACCCTCCGACTCTCATGTGATCTTGAAGTTTACCTTTGGTAGAGAGCCTTGACATCAGCATCCATGCCCTGTTGTTGTGACACCTCAATGCCAAACCTTCGAGCACGCTCTTCTTTCTTCTCAATGGCTTCCTATTAAAGTAATTAAACAACAATCTGATAATCGTTGCCAGCAAAAGTGTAAGATACCTTACATCCTGAAAACGCTGATGAAATTTTCTTAAACATTTATATATTATCAGTGATTATCAATATACTTGTTGAACAGTAGGGTTGTTATGGTTTACTGATTGTTGTTTGGTTGTTTTGTTGTTTAACACCGCACTCAGCAATATTCCAGCTATATGAGGGCAGTCTGTAAATAATCAAGTCTGGACCTGACAATCCAGTGATTGATATCATGAGCATCGATCCACACAATTGGGATCGATGACATGCATCAACCAAGTCAGCGAGCCTGACCACCCGATCCCGTTAGTCGCCTTTTACGACAAGCATAGTCGCCTTTTACGGCAAGCATGAGTTGCTGAAGACTTATTCTTCCCCTGATCTTCATGGGTGGGTTCACTGTTATGTACGGTGTCATTGATACATAGCTAGGGTACAGCCTACAGACGATACCTGACAGCTGTTCAGGTAAACTTATCTTAATGAACCAAATCCACATACCTTTGATGTAAGGTCAATTCCAGTGATAAAATCGCCATCTCTATTTTCATATTTCTTTGTATAAACCTGGGAAAAATGAAGAAGAAAATGCACATGTCATTATAGGTACCACATGCTCAATGAAAATTAGGACATGCCTCACCATGCTCACTGTTTTGTCTCATTTAACATATTTAATACACAAAAGAAACTGTATTTAAAGGATAACGGTGAAATCATAGCCACTCCCAGCTTGTAGACACAATTTACGGTGAAATTGTAGACAAACCGGGAGTAAATTCGTAGACACGTTTCTTATAATGGAATTATATTTTAAGCCTGCAAAACGTAACTTATTGTTCAGCATCAGTTTCAATATAGATCTATATAAGTATATAAATCAAAACATAAGGAATTTTAGCAGAAAAGCTTGCTGAAAGGTGTTGGCAAATTCATTAGCCTAGCTTAGTTTCAAGTTAGCAGCATCAGTTAGATCCTCCACCCTCCCAGTTATTTGTTTGAGAAGTTGTGATAAAATCATTTACAATATACTATTCTACCTAGTTTAGTTTTTTTACTTCATATATCTCATTGTTGTTCATATTTTATTAGAATCGCGTTCTTCGGGTTAATTAAAAACGGGCCCTTAAAACACATTCACAAACTAGAATAAACATACATGCTTATTCCGGATGTGTCTTGTGAGTGAGCTCATCTGATAAATTTACAGTTAAACATACCTCTGTTTTCGATTTTGTTTTGTTTTCGTTTCCAACATCCGCTATTCTCACATTAAACTCAACCTCTCCAGCGTCCCCAGTGTTATCAGTCTTCACGATCTCGTCAACCTCTATTGCTACTTCGGACTCTAACGAGCTATCGCTGTCGGATATTTCACCTTCTTCAGTATTATCTACACATATTTTCAAATTTGGTAAATTCTGTCTTCCTTGGTCGTCCATGTTGCTTCTAACGCGCACTGAATCTGAAGCATTTTTTCATTGGTCAATGCATTTCTACTCCTAAAATCCGGAACACACAAAAAATAACGGAAATGTGTTTCGTTCCTTCTACCGCATTTCAATAGGCCTATCGTATTCACAAACAAGTTAACGCCTTGGAACAGTAGCTGGTATATTTCTAAAAATGGCGTAAGACTGCTGTTTTACTGGCAATATTATTTGTTTGTGATTTGTACGGTTAAAAAAATCCGGGATATTTTAGTTCAGGTGCGAGGTCACTGGGGACCTTGTTTACAAATGGACGACACAGCAAGTAGTCAGCGGGATGGTGTTTGAATAAGTCGACTCAAAGATAAGACATATCTTTGGATATCATCATATTTCACAGTAGGTGATGAAATCTTTTATCAGCTGGTTTAGATCTCTTGATTAAAAATACCATCACCTGGCTCACCAGTAGGCTAATAATTGCTAGCCTAATTAGGCTATCACCTGCTTATTGCTTTCGAGTGGTTTGTTGGATTTTCTTCAGATAAAGCGGTTGTGGTCTAAGTAGTTTGTGCATACACTTTATTTTGTAACGAAATCTAATTGTAAATTATATATTGAAAATACCCTTTTTCAGAAAAGCTAGGAAGATCGTAATTAATCAGAGCTGTTAATCAGTAGTGAAAGTTGACCTGTGCATCAGATGATGACATGGGCAGGTGAAGGGTTTGGTATATGACAGAAGTGTAATGTTATGATATTTCAATAAATTGCCTAAGTGAAAATTTTAGTCATTTTACACAATGAATGTACCATATGCACACAATAAAATATGCGATTCTCAGGTGAAATATTTAGTTTGTATTACAAGTCAACAGAAAAATCGCATCAAACCAAACTAGTGACATATCAAAACTTTGTTGACGTTATTGGTGCTACCCCCAGAGAATCCTTATTTTTTCCAAGACAAAACTGTAAATAATTTTGTTTGATCAATATGACAATAGTCCTTCATGCTATCAATAAAAGCAACAAATGCGCTTACGGTTGGCGAAGCAAAGGTCTCGAACTTGTCAAGATTTCTGGGTTATCATCATAGTATCTACAGGATACTAAACAAAGGCATCCACCAGTCCCATATTGTTACCATGGTTACAGCACTGTGTGATATTGTTCTGCAACTCATATTGTTACACAACTACATGATATCGTACTGTGATTTTCATTCCACCACTACAGTACAATAGCACATGGTGCAACAATAGGAGTTACAGTATGATATCACACAGTGCATAACAATACGAGTTAACGTATGACATCACGTAGTGGTGCAACAATAGGAGTTACAGTATGATATCACACAGTGCATAACAATACGAGTTAACGTATGACATCACGTAGTGGTGCAACAATAGGAGTTACAGTATGATATCACACAGTGCATAACAATACGAGTTAACGTATGACATCACGTAGTGGTGCAACAATAGGAGTTACAGTATGATATCACACAGTGCATAACAATACGAGTTAACGTATATCACGTAGTGGTGCAACAATAGGAGTTACAGTATATCACACAGTGCATAACAATACAAGTTAACATATATCACATAGTGGTGCAACAATAGGAGTAACAGTATGATATCACACAGTGCATAACAATACAAGTTAACGTATATCACGTTGTGGTGCAACAATAGGAGTTACAGTATGATATCACACAGTGCATAACAATACAAGTTAACGTATATCACGTAGTGGTGCAACAATAGGAGTTACAGTATATCACACAGTGCATAACAATACAAGTTAACATATATCACGTAGTGTTGCAACAATAGGAGTTACAGCATGATATCACACAGTGCATAACAATACAAGTTAACGTATATCACGTAGTGTTGCAACAATAGGAGTTACAGTATATCACACAGTGCATAACAATACAAGTTAACATATATCACGTAGTGTTGCAACAATAGGAGTTACAGCATGATATCACACAGTGCGTAACAATACAAGTTAACGTATATGACATAGTGGTGCAACAATAGGAGTTGCTTGTATTGTAACACGACTGCATGATATCATACTGTAACTCATATGTACTGATGTTTTCCTACTTTCAAGTTGTGTTTTGCAGGGGTGAGTATGACTGGTTCTGCCCCTCCCGGTGACTCCGCCCCCAACCATGACGGGGACAGTCTCCTCCAGCGGCTGCTACTCCCACTGGACATCCTCCAGACCGACTGTCTCCACACCCATCACTGGACGCTCATCCTTGCTGCAACATCGCTTAGCCTCTTCTTCATATTCAAAAAGACCCAGAAACGTCTTCCGCCAGGCCCTTGGACCTGGCCTGTGATTGGACACATTAACTATTTCAGGAATAAGCCCCATATTAAGCTATCCAACCTTAAAGAAAAGTATGGCGATATCTACCAGCTGCGGCTGGGCACCCATAATGTTGTGATTGCTTGCTCGCTAGATGCTGTTTTGGAAGGGCTGATACATAAAGGGGTTGACTTCAGTGATCGACCTGACTTTGAGGTGTGTCACATCCTGTATAATGGAAACCGACATCAAGGTGAGAACGTAACAGAAGTAATTAAGACTTCATGAGCATGGAACAATAATATTAATCTGATGTGACAGCGCACCAAGCTTAGATCTATTCCAGGGATACTCTTGGACATATATGATATCTGAGGAGTATTTTGTTTGTAGTTTTGGAAGTATTTATGATGTTTAAAGTTTCATATTTTAGTCATGGTAGACTATTGTACAGGGATGGCATTGGGCTCTCAGTTGTCTACGGCGCCACAATTCACTGTGCAGAGTTGCGTCACTTAGGAACGCCCGAAACCTATGATGTCGGTTCGAATCCCAGTTTGTTGAATATGGTTCCAGGTTTGTCAGCACCATACCCATGCTGGGTGCCCCAAAGTGCTAAACATCAAAGACTTGTATCACTTTAGGCTTTTCTCCAACATCAAGCTGACACACTGTGATATAACTGGAATACTGTTCAAAACGGGGTTAAACCCACTCACTCACGAATGTACAGTAATTCACTGTTCTTCCCTTCGGCATGCCGAAACCTATAATCGTTGGTTTCAATCCAGGTTGGCCCTGATTGTTTGAAGGTTTGTCAGCACCAAACCCATGCTTGTGGGTTAAACTGGATGTCACCAAAGTGGTAAAAGTCTGCTTTCCTCCCACATCATGCTGACATACCGTGATACAACTGATATAATACAAACTCATGTGATAAAGTCAAAAGGAAACTATGCTTGTCATAGGAGGCGACTAACAGGATTGGGTGGTCAGGCTCGCTGACTTGGTTGATGCATGTCATTATATCCCAATTGCGTAGAACGATTTTCATGATGTCAATCACTGGACTGTCTGGTCTAAACTCAATTAATTTACAGACCATCGTCATATCGCTGGAATTTTGCTGGGTGCAGCGTTTAACAACAAACAAACATTAAAATGAAACAGTAATAGCTGTATTGTAAAAACCTTTTAAAACTTCTAATTTCAGGTATCAGTACGGCTGATTATGATGAAAAGACAGTGATGAAGAAGAACTTCCTCGACTTCAGCCTCGACGTCTACTGCTCCAGCTCGGAAAACATCGAGGACGTAGTGGCTGCAGACATATTGGAAGTTGTCAATATATTTGTTGAGACTGACAAACCGCTGGATCCTTTCTACTCCTTGGAATCTGCTTGTCTGAACATCATGACGAGGCTAGCGTATGGTCAGAGGTTTGACCCAGCAGGCCGTGTCATGCAAGAGATTCTGTCCACATTCCACGCCCGAAATTTTGCCAAATGTTTCCACGCTGTTGACTATGTGCCATTCCTAAAAGCTTTCTCACCGAGAGAAGATTTGGAATTTGTTCAAGAGAAGACCCTGCAGCAGATCCTGTATCAGAGGAAGATTATGAACGTGCACAAGGACAGCTATGATCCAGGGAGCATCCGCGATATGATGGATCACCTGCTGCTGTATCTGGAGACTGGGGAGGACCATGGATTAATGGAGAAGGGGGACATCGACTTCCTGATGATGGACTTCGCTAACTCCGGCTACGAGACCACGGCTGTTGTCCTCACGTGGCTGCTTGGCTACATGGCCATGAACCCTGACATCCAGGTCAAGGTCCAAGAGGAACTGGATGGCATTGTGGGTAACGACCGACTCCCGTCTCTACAGGATCAGCCGTATCTTCCCTATACAAGTGCCGTCATCTTTGAAGCAGAGAGACTGGCGTCAGTCTACCCTTTCCTTCAACCACACGTTGCGAGGGACAACTGCAAGTTACAAGGTTACATTCTTTTTCACAGATACCATGGTTACAGTGGAGCAATTTGATTCAGATTCATAGAATAGTTTAATGAACTCAACAGGGGAACAAGGTCAGCCTATACATCTTACGTAGATACCTTCAAAATCTCCCCTCTCATGTCAGTGGTACACATCCTTCCCTATCGGAATGACATTATCATTCTGAAATCAGTTCATTCAAGTATTGATACTGCACCATGCATACTTTACTTTATACCAGTCTTTTATGTAGAAGAGGGACACCATCCATCATTGTTCAAGTACTGATAATGCACCATGTATATTTACTCCATGTTGACTGCCTCCATGGTCTAGTGGTAGAGCGCCTGCTCGGGGGTTCGATCCCTGCCCTCGTCATACCAAAAGATGTTAAAAGATGGTACTTGTTGTTGCCCTGTCTGGTGCTCGGCATTATGGGACTAAAACAAGGACTGGTTAGCTCGGAGTCAGTGTACTGTGTCTGAGAGGGGTGTTCATGTTTAACTGCGGCAAGGTAACTCAATGGGCTAGCACTATAGATCGGCATCACTAGGGACTAGTGCAAGTAGCCACACACACACACACGTGCATTCACGTTGCTATATTAGTGCAATAATCTTGCGACGTGACGTTAAACACCATTTCACCTCACCTCACCTCACCTCACCTCACCTCACCTCACCTCACCTTACTCCATGTTTTTTGCTCACCAGACTTTGACATAGCGGAGGGCACCATCTTGCTGCTGAACGTGTGGAGCATCCACCATGACAGCCGGTACTGGAAACACCCAATGAAGTTCGACCCCAACAGGTGCATACACAATGATGATTTTGTATATGTGAGCGAGTTGGTAGAAAACGTGACACCGGCAATATTGCAGTCTCATTGAGTGAGTGAGTGAGTGAGTGAGTAAGTTGTCTTTAATGCCTGTTTTAACAGTTATACAGTTATACCAGGGCGTGTCAACTTAATGTGTGAGGAAAGCCCGAAGTGATGCAAGTCTCCGACGTTTACCAGTAAGGTTAAACCCACGAGCACCGGTATGGTGCTGACAAACCTAGAAACATAATCGGGGCGAACCGGGATTCGAACACACAATCATAGGTTCCTAGTGTGGCCAAGGGATGCAACTCTGCATAGCCAATTGCAGCGCCTTTGACAATCGGGCCACCCGTGCTCCCCCTGCAGTTTTTTTTGTGACAGAGGTTGCATATAATACTATACTGTAGAAAGTGGGGCCTTTCCTAACTGGGGAGATCTTTTTACCTAGCTATTATTTTTGTCACTTTTCATTTTATCATTTTTCTTTGGTCTTTTTTTTTAGTTGGTTTACATTTTTTTGGCCTAAAATTCCATGTGACCTTTTCAACTACCAGATTGTGCTGTTACTTATGAAGGAGGTACAAATATGTTTTAACATGGCAAGAATTAATATTTATACATTGTATATGTATTATTCCCCATTTCTTAAGAACAGCAGTGATAAAATTTGCATGGTTGTTTCGTTTCACCTACTTTAAACAGAGTTGGTCCAGAAAACTAATTATCACAAGTAATTTTTATTTCCTTATTTCTTTCACAGAAAAACAACATGACCGACCGATTTGATCTTTATTGGCACTCATTGATTTGAAACAAATTCAGAGATAATAAATCACAGATTCAGATAAGATGTGAGATGAGAGGGATATGTGCTCGTATGTGTTCTAATGATTGGTGAATGTATTGACGCAGATTCCTAACAGACGAGAACTCCCTGGAGATTCCAGACCACTTCATGCCCTACGGTGCCGGAACACGGCGCTGTCCAGGAGAAAGTTTGGCCGAGATCATGCTGTTCCTGTTCTTCTCCACCATCATGCACCAGCTGACGGTCAAGTCGGCCACCAAGAACTTCTGCCTGGAAGGAGAGTACGACTTCATCATCCGGCCACACCCATTTGCACTGGTGTTTGAGGAGAGAGAGGGCTGAGTTCTGACCTCCCATAGACAGGACCGCTCTGATATACTTCAGTGAAGTCTTCATCAGACTCATTACCTTCACAAACAGGAGGCTCATGTCTCACACCTTTATAATATCAGGGTTGTCACAATCCACTAATGCATCAGTACATCAAATGTTCACCTGATGATTCTCGACATGATATGCCTATCCATGTATTGATTCATATTTTTATATTCTGTATGATTTTGCAGTAAATTGGCCTGGTAACTGCATTAACTTAACCCCTTTCATGAAAACTGCTAAAACTGCAAAAACTAACCTAAATTAACCAGTAATGCAATTACAAACCTATAGCAACAACCTTTTTCTATTCGGGTCAAATCTAACATGGAGAATATAAACCCCATTTCACCGCACCGCACCTCACCTCACCTCAACTCACCTAACATCTCACCTCACCTCACCTCACCTCACCTCAACTCACCTCAGCACACCTCACCTTACCTGAGGTAAGTGGATTGTGACACCCACACTTTCTAGTCATACATGTTTTTACCAAAGTTAATTTTCCATTCTCTGTAGTAAGGTGGGTATACTTTAGTGGTCTAATTGCCACAGGTGCAACGCCTGTGCCTGATCCCAGGTAGTCCTCCACAGAACTGATGATGTAGATTCCAGCTAGTCCTCCACAGATCCCATGATGCCTGTGCCAGATGACCACCCACTCCCACACCCCCCACACACACACACCACCACACACACCCACACACACACATCCTTGTCCTAAGATCCCAGCAGCTGGTCCTCCGCGGATACAAATCCCAGTTAGTCCTCCAAAGAACATGATGCATGTGCCTGATGCCCTCATTTCTTGTCCTAATAACGCCACTAGTCCTCCCCAGAACCACAGTGCCTGGTGCCCAGACTGTTTTGTCTGTGGAACTGATGACACCAAAGCTGCCTGTGCCAGATGTCCCAGGTGCACGACGATTGATTCTCAAGCCGAGTCAAGAGGGAGAAAATAGAGGAAAAGTCTAATACACCATTTAGTGCTTTAAGCAACAACCAGAAAGTTATGGATTAGCAGGGGTGTTAGATCAAATCAGATTAGATGTCATATGTGCTTAGGGGGCACGGGTGGCCCAGTTGTCTACGGCGCCGCGATTCACTGTGCAGAGTTGCGTCCCTTGGGCAAGCCAGAAACCTATGATTGTGGGTTTGAATCCAGGTTCGCCCCAATTATGTTTCTAGGATTGTCAGCACCATACCCGTGCTCGTGGGTTTCACTGAAGTGGTAAACGTCTGAGACCTGCATCATTTCGGGCTTTCCTCCACATTAAGCTGACACACCATGATTAAGCTGGAATACTGTTAGAAGCGGCTTTAAGCCTAACTCACTCACTCATATGTGCTTACATGATCAAATTTGGTCTTTACTTACATTATCAATGTCATCTTTGCTTTCATGATCAAATGTTATATTTACTTTCATGACCAACTACCCTATTCATGAAATATTGTCTTTACAATTGTCAATACAACATGTCATACTCTTTCAACACTCCATTTCCGATATCCTGTAATCAAAGGATTTTGTCGAAAAAAATTAAAATGTCCCCAAAATTCGTGACAAAAATAATTATGCTTCTGACTATTGAAAAAAAAAAAGAAACCGCCTGCCACAAAAATAACATCCTAGTTTTAAATGAAAAGATATCTGGTTTGTGTCTGTAGCTGAAAAAAATATCTAATCTCTATACAAAATTTGGTCCCTAAGCATTGATTTGATACCTCTAAATCCATACATTGAAATCATGCTATCAGTTTTGCTAACAGTCAGAGGTATCATATTGACAATAACACATATAAATCCACATCACAGTAGGCATGATTTCTGATTGTCGTGTACAGTATATCTCTCTGTCAGCTTCTTGTCATCATGCTGTCTGGTTGGTTGTTGTCTGAGTCTAATCAGAGGAACAATATATTTCTTGTGCAATATGTCAGTAGATCTGTTATATATTTATTGTTGGACACAGTTGTGTTGCATTCCTATTTACATCTTGTTGTAATTTACATGCCATGTCCGTTTTGACAATGAAATTTACAAGCACAAATCAATGCATTTTGGATTTGTTTTTTCAGAGACTATGTATTTACTGTAATTGATTTTATTCAGAATTGACTTCAATATTGTTTGCATTTAAGGTGGTATAAACTTCAAAACTTGTATGCATAGTGTGTAATCTGCATAGCCATGATACCTCGTGTCTGCAAAATGGTGAGCGTATCCTGCCTCACCAGTGGCACCCATCAAAAACACATGCAAAGGCAAGTCAATTGTTCACCTGGAAAAGACAGGGTAACAGTTCCAAGAACAGCAATTTAAACTGCTGCAGCACACCCAAAACACAAGGCTGTTATGAAGTCCTAGTGTAAATATGTGCTTGATCACAGAAACTGTATAGTGATAACCTCAAAAACACAGTATATTGCAGATATGTTTAGTAGATAGTGACAAAACACTTAATACTCAGAAATCTTTGTCCATTGTACGATTTAGACTATAATATGAGCATGTGTTTAAGAATCACTATCAAAAGTGATGATACTGGGGCTGGGATGGGTAACTCGGGTCCTCGTGTTGGGTGGGTACTGAGTAGGACCCGGGTATCCACAGGACCACCCGGACCGATGGATAGACATGTGATATATTGTTTAATGACAAAAACTCACTATAGCTCAGTGGTTACAGTACATGTCGCTAATGTTCGCATTTCTTTCTGACGATGCACACATTCCTTTTGACTTGTATATGTTTGAGTAAAGATAAAGCTTCAGTTAATGTCAGTGTACGCATGATCTGATCGTTTGATACAGGTATCTTAATAGTTTTGACAAGGGCTGCGGTAAAACAATTCCCAATCAGACATTTTGTTCCCAACTCTTCAGACCTGCAGTGGGTACCCGGGTAGGGTCGGGTAATAGGGCGTCAGGTACCCGGGTAGTAAATTTGGACTCGTCCCAGCCCTAGATGATACCAGGTGTTCACGAAAATGTGAGCAAATCCATGGAAATTAGAGGATTCTATCGGACATCGCTTTTGTCCCTGATGCATCAAGTTTGGAAATGTCCTCCACATGTCTTCCAGGCCTTGAATGTTGTAGGCTTGTTCAAACAACTTTTTGGGGCGGTCGGGTAGCCTTGTGGTTAAAGCGTTCGCTCGTCACGCAGAAGACCCGGGTTCGATTCCCGACATGGGTACAATGTGTGAAGCCCATTTCTGGTGTCCCCCGCCGTGATATTGCTGGAATATTGCTAAAAGCGGCGTAAAACCATACTCACTCACTCAAACAACTTTTGAGCAAGTGTCACAAGAGGCTCTTTGAAATCTTGTTAGAAGGAGCATGCTTGATCGTAGCTCAAAAGGTGTGAAATGTAGACACCAAAGGCTGGAGCTGCTGGAATATTGCTCTACATAATGGGAAATTTGACTATTGGAAGGTTGAAGTCATCCCTCTTGATCAACATTATGTTATCATTCTGAATCTTTATGCATGGACCTACTTAACAAACAGATGAAGCGGTTTTACTGGCTTCTTATATTTATAACTGAGTTAGGTAAATCGTTTGAAAGGAACTGGCTATTTGACCGTTATTAAACTATATCGGTAAATCGTTTGAAAGGAACTGGCTATTTGACCGTTATTAAACTATATCGGATCATTGCTACCTGGAGCATAAGTTAAACTTCTTGTCCATATTCCCTTCTTTTGATTTTGCCAATCAAAAATGATTGCATAAAGAAAGTGATCAACAAGGAGGGGTGTCACATTTGGTGTCCATGCCTACTTCTTGCCTAATTGTTCTATCCCTACATTTTATGCAGAAATATTCTATCTCTACATTTCACATATACTCAACAACAAAAGTTCCTGTGACACAAATATTTTCGTGTATTTTTCAAACAAGTAAAGTTTGGTTTCCAATATTGTAGTATATGTATGGAATCAAGTCACAAAAACGCTACTGCTTCAGAAAAGCATGCATTCCATGCAAAAGTTGACTTTTATGCAAGCCCCATGCATTTCACTACCCAAGAATGGGTATAAAAACATGTGCGTTAACGGGATTCCATATGCATTGTTTAGCATCGTGCTGATAACAAACACTCAGAAAAACAACAAAATTACGCAATTATTCAACATTACGAAATGCCACGCCTGTCAGAAAATAAGCGTCTGCGAGCCATTGGTATGCTTGAAGCAGGATCGAGTCAACGTGATGTTGCAAGACATTATAACGTCCACAGAAACACCCTTTGGTGTTTATGGCAACGTTGGCAACATACGAATGCAGTCAGAGACCATCCTCGGAGTGGCAGGCCACGCGTAACCAATAATCAACAAGACAACTGGATTCTAACAACACACCTACGAAATCGATTCCAGCCAGCAACAGTGACTGCAAGAAGCATCCTTGGCCTCCGACGAATATCTTCACAAACCGTACGTTGCTACCTCCGATGGGCAGGGATTGTCGCCAGAAGATCATCGGCCCTGTTGTTCTACTGTTTTTGCGTCGTCATGGCCCAGGCATTACCTTCCAACATGACAACGCCCGGCCTCATATTGCTCGACTTGTTCAGGATTCTCTTCAACAAAACAACGTGAATGTCATCCCCTGGCCGGCTCGCTCCCCTGATCTCTCACCAATCGAGCACATGTGGGATGAGATGGATCTGCGCCTTCGACGTCAACCACGTGTTCCACAGACACTCAAGGAACTTCGAAACATGCTCAAGCAGATATGGACAGATATCCCACAGGACTTTGTGCGACGCCTGGTCCATTCCATGAGACGATGATGTGTTGCTTGCATCGCAACCAGAGGTGGACACACACGCAATTGATTTGTAAATTGACATTTTGGCATGTTCATGCTTTTTTTTTAATGAAATCACGCATTTTCTGAAGTCAGTATGGCAAATTAAGCCATTTGAACACTTACAGGAGTCTTTTATCTGTTGCAAATCGAAATTGTTTCAGATTTGGTAAAAAAAACATAACTTTGCATTAAACCTTATTCAATGTCACAGGAACTTTTGTGATCCAGTGGTAGAGTTTCCGCCCGGAGAGCGGAAGGTCCGGGGTTCGATCCCCGGCCGCGTCATACCAAAAGATGTTAAAAGATGGTACTTGTTGTTACCCTGTCTGGCGCTCGACATTAAGGGGCTAAAACAAGGACTGGTTGGCTCGGAGTCATTATACTGTGTCTGAGTGGGGTATTCATGTTAAACTGCGGCATGGTATCTCAGTGGGCTAGCACTATAAATCGTCATCAGTCCGGACTAGTACAGGTACACACACAAACACACACACGTACATGCACGTCGCTATATAAGTGCAATAATCTTGGACGCGACGTTAAACCCCATTTCACCTTACCTCACCAAACCCAACTGATCCCATAGATGCTCGATTGGATTCAGGTCTGGGCTTCGAGAAGGCCTAGGTAGATTCTGGAGAGGTCAGTCACAGCTCGTGCTCGGTGGAGCAGGCATTGTCGTCCATGAAGACCGGACGTGTGGCAGGTGCATGGTTATAATGATGAGGTGCAATAAAACCGCCCAATATGGTATCTTGATACCTTCGTCCATTTAATGTCCCTTGAACTTTGACCAAATCAAGTTTACAACCAAAGGAGCAATATTCCATCACTCAGCCGCCACCACATGTCACTGTTTCCTGGATGTTCGCTGATGATAACATGTCCCCCTTTGCCCCAAGACCGCCTCCGTGGTCTATTGGTAGAATGTCTGACCGGAAGGTCCGGGGTTCGATCCCCGTCCGCGTCAAACCAAAATACTTTAAAATATGGTACTTTTTGTTACCCTGTTTGCCGTTCGGCATTAAGTGGCTAAACCAACGACTGATCGGCTCGGAGTATACGGTGTCTGAGTGGGGGTATCCATGTTGCACTGAGGCATGGTATCTCAGTGAGCTAGCACTATAAATTGGCATCAGTCCGGACTAGTACAAGCAGCCACACACACACGTGCCTGCGCGTCGCTATGCAAGTTAACTAATCTTAGACGCGACGTTAAACACCATCCACCTCACCCACCTTTGCCCCCAGACATGAGTCCTACCATCAGTGTGGTGCAATAAATAAAACGACTCTTTGTCAGACCGATGAATCCTCCTCCCTGACCTCAAGTTCTAGATTGTTCGAGCCTGACACCAGGCTA